GGGTACCATATCAATGAAATATGTGACTGTATGTTGTAACAGTGAAGATATGACGCTCGGGCAAGCTAAGCATAATTTATATAACCCGACGAAAATTAATCATTTTGCATCTCATTGAGTTTTTCTCTGTATCTCAATTACTATTTCAGTGAATTATTCTTTTTCTTTTCTTCTGTTCCAACGAAAACACGTCATATCTCTATTTCAGTCTCTATCAAAGGCTTTATTTTATTGCACTGATTTCATCTACTTAAAAAAAAAAAAAATCCCATATGTAATTGTTTCTAGTCTAAGGTAGTTTAGTTTTTAAGTTTTTTTTCTTCAAAGTAATTACAGCATTCAGGTATTATATTCTGTTTGGGGACCTTGCTCTAACAAGCCCAGCTTCTTTAAGGTCTCCTCTTTCTTTCATGTACAGAACATAATCTTACATAAGTAATTTTGTAAAGAATTTCTCTAGTTAATGACAAGAGTTGTATGTTGAATATTAATATTGCACTTCAAATTATGTTTGTTATATTGATAATCTGCTGTTCCTGCTACTTTTTTTGAAAGCCTATGCACAAATGTTTGTGAAAGAAGAAATAAAATGAATTATGAACTATGACTATCTCATTTCTTTCATATTCATCAATAGCATGACCATGATGACGACTGACAAGATTACACTACTAAGGATCAGGGGCGGATCTAGCTTTTTGCTAAGGGGGGGGGTTTGACCAAAATAATGACGATGCAGAGCATCGTCCACGAGCCGCGTAGCGGCGAGCCGATTTTTTTTGGGGTGTTTATTTGAACCCCGTAAGTGATGTTTTCCTGGCATCTATTAACACAATGGAGACCATAAAAAGCAGTGCATGATAACGTCTTTTTAAATCAAGTAACAGCTTAATACACAGTTATATCCAGCCTTTTTATCATGTGTTTGGTTAAGTTACCAGATGAGTTGAATATCTTCTCACAATATTTGCACTTGAAAGGGTTTCTCTCCAGCGTGCGTTCTTTTTTCTTTCTTTTTTTCTTTTTTTCTTTTTTTCTTTTTTTCTTTTTTTCTTTTTTTTTGGGGGGCCGCCCAAGGGGGGGGGTTTGAACCCCCTAAACCCCCCCCCCCCGTAGATCCGCGCCTGAGGATGTGTTTGGGTTAAAGGTAAAGACCAGTATTGGAAACGCCCCAATTTCAAAAAATGAAATGGAAGCTCTCATTACCAATCATGTGAAAGAATATGTTTTGACTAATACATGATGATAACAAATTTGCCGGGAAACCACCTACTAATTCATATATTTGGTAAATTTGTTTCTCCCATGGTCTGTGAGAGATATAGGGTAGTCCCATATACATCTTTCTGTGTATAGTGCTTGTAACTTTACGAAGAATGGGCCAAATTTCTTATCATTTTGATGATTCCAGAACCTTGCAGATGCTAGATGCTAGATGATCAACCTTTTCTGATCGATTCCACAACGTTTCTTTCACAATGCAATCGCATGACCATAACTGGTCTTTACCTTTAATTGATATAAAAGCACAAAAGGGAGTACATCCAAATCTCTACATTTGCCTCCTCCACCCATGCAGATGTAGTAGATTGCTTCCTGTTGGGACCCATTTTTATTTAAAGACCGTCAATACTACTGGGCCAGAAGGGATTAGACCACCCACCCAGGTCACTGACAGGTGGCTATCTCATTAACTCAGCACTCAACTAACATCAGAAAAAGAGGATCATGGGGGACCAACAGGCACCTATTGGGGAAGTTTTTCTATATAGAGGGAGCAAGTAGCTACAAGTAGGACAGTGGGGCGTTAATGCTTTCATCGCCTTAGTTTAATTTGGAATGAATTCGGGGGTAATAATGATACTTTGTTTGCACCTTAGGTTGGATATATTCACATTACAAATGTAGCTATAATAATGATGATAATAATAGAATAATAACCGTAATAATGATAATGATAATTTTGATTTATTGTTCGCTGTGCTATGTGCGAACAAATATCCGGGACAAATATATCACATTATTCTATTAGTCTCTGCATGTCAACAATATCGACCGGAAGCAACGAGATTTTGTTTGAAATGTGTTTGTAAAAACCCAACGAAATCCACATCCTCTATCCTATTCCAAACTTATGTGGTTTCAGAACATGAGCAAGTAAGGAGACAAAACGCAAAAACAACGACCTTAATTTCTAACCAAACAACTTTGATTCACGACTTTGTGGTGGTTTTGTGGCGGGCGGTCATAATCCGTTGTAGGTGTGTGTGTGTGTGTGTAATTGGGGTTTTACAGGCGTGTACCAATTATTAGATATGATTATTTACGTCTGGGGACCGAGTTTTCAAGTCACTATCCGAAAAAGGTTATGGGGAAAATCTTACCTATTTTTCTATGTGTACCTGTCGTAAAATTTTACAAAGATTTTAATTCAGTTTTATGCAATCGCTAATGAACATTTTACAAATTTGTAAATGCGGTTCTTTTCCGAAATAAATCTTATGTTTAGAATTATTTCCGGCAAGTCTGCTTTCAAGACGATGCAAAGGATGTAGACTAGGGATAGATCACGCAGCACGAAAACACATGGAGAGAGAGAGAGAGAGAGAGAGAGAGAGAGAGAGAGAAAAAGAAAGAAAAAGAGATAGGGAGGGGGGAGAGAGAGAGAGAGAGAGAGAGAGGAGGGGGGGGGGGGGGGGGAAAGCGAGGCAAAAAGTGAGGGGAGAACAGGACCAACGAAAAATAGGGGAGGGACAGGCGGGATAGAATCAACTCTATCAATCTTTTGAAATAATATTTGAATAATATTTTTTAAGTACTTCGTAAAATTTATTTAAAATATCATGTAATTACGATCTTGGGTCAGCGCCATGGCGTCTATAGTTGTGTTAATAATATTGCTAGGAGGAAAAATAACCATAATGCGAAACCACATATTGAAATGTATTCAATCATTCTTGAACAAACAACCTCCGACCACAACTGTTTAATTAGCCTCGTTTCCTTCGGTTGAATAGATAGTTTAACAATTTTCAAAACAGATTGTCTTTACGCATATTTTGACAAATAACTGAGAAACCGATGACTGTGAGAAATTGAAAAAATATTTTAAAAAATGAAATCGTAGAGACGCGTCTACTACACGCAACACTGCGAGAAGCTAATAAGCAAACTGCGATAGACGAACATAAATGGAAAATAATTTCTGGAGGTTCTTTCACGATTCTCGACCGTCTGCTCATCTTAATATCAATTTATAGACGTATCACCTACGTTCGAGCGATTAAAATAAAAACAATTCTTCTTTAATTGGACTCATGGGTGTAGTACAGCTGAAATGGCGTTAAAAGGTCAGACTTGGTAGTCAAGGTAACGACCTTGACCTAACTCTAGAATAACACGTGACATCATGCATGTATCAGGTATATCCAAACTAAGATTCTGCAATGGTTTGACCTCCCTCGTTGAAATAAAATATATAATAGGGGGTATGACGGACTGAAATTCAAATCAATTCGTATTTACTTCATTTCCAACAGAAAGATAAACAAAGGTAATACATTACAGAAATTAATGCCCCACGAAAGCCCCGAAGGTCCTGCTAGATATAAAGTAAATATCAGATTGCTTGTATTCAGACAATTATTTAAAGAACTAACTTCTATCCTGAAGTTAGTCTCCGACCATACCAAATATAATGAAATTTAAAAAAACAGGAAAAAAAACGTGAACGAGGGAAAGGAATATGAAGAAAGATTAACCGACCCGACATCTCCTAATTTTGCATTTCATCCACCATGGGAGACAGCGATGCACCCCCACCCCATCCTACGCCCGGCCCCCAGTGCCCCTATTATAGGGAAAACTCACTGTCCTAACAATGAACGATATACCCCCATTCCATTTTATTGTATGTAAGTAAAAACAAAAAAGATGTAGAAGAGTATCCGAGACTATAATGTATATAGCGTATCGATTTTGTCGGGAAGAGTAACGACGATGTCCCCGCCATCCCCGCCACGCCCACCCCCCCCCCAAACCAACCCCACCACCCCACCACCCCAATATACTGTAATAATAGCGATGCCCCCCCCCCCATGCCCAATTGTTGTTGTTGTTCTTGTAGTTTTAATGTCGTGTGTCATTCATTTATGAATATTTACGCCTTACGCCGTAGGACCACCCAATGTAGACTTAAAGGTAACCCACTTAATAATTATATATCCCCCACCCCCAACTGCATATTAAAACAAATCATGTGCGTATAGACTATACGAACACTACTTAATGACGTCGATCATGATCGATGCCCTTTTAATGGGCTCTAACAATAGGATTACCGTACTCTCCCAATCCATCGAATTACATGACATAATAGATCACGGCCAAACTGGTTCGATATTTCGCTCAAGGAAAGGCCATAGTGAACCGGGACAACTTGGAGAAATCGATTATTGAGGCATCGGAATGGATCATTATAAACCTGGTGATGAAATCGATGAATTTTCAAAGGGGCTAAAAAGTATGACGACAATATCGACCCACATGTACATTCCAAAAGAAGATAAACTACTACTTTCGATTGAATAACCTCCTTCCTCAGTCTGTAGCGCGAGCAAAAAAGCAAACAGCTTTTGCCAATACATATACCACCATTGTATTTCATTTCATTTCGTTCCTCTTTAAGAAGTAAATGCTATTCAAAAGACCAATGACAAACCTGTCGAAAGCTAGGTCAAAAACTGTTGAATATACTTTAGGTGTTTTGTTAACGTATTGATATACTGTAATAACATATTGACATATATGTTAAATGTACTTTGGACTGTAGGCGAGCAACGTTATACGCCTATAAAGGTTATGAATGAAATTGCGAAAAGTACACACCATTCAAAGAATTTTGAACCCATATAAGACGAAGACAAAAGAAGGGGAAAAACATCAAACTGAGTGTGTGGATTATCAATGTGAAAGTAAGTGTTTGAGAAACAAGATTTTACCTGTCAGTTGTTTTCTCTGTGCCTCCTCCCTATCAATGCTGGGTTTTTCACTGTGGATGGTTAGAATACTTCGAGTGGACGTCAGAAGAGGTGCAGGAGGAGGTGGTGATTGAGTGGAAGACCATCTCCTTCCCTCTGATGCACGCATCGACATCGCCATCGACGACGATGGTGACGACGACGATGATGACGACGACGCTGAAGTCTTCGGTGATGCTTGGGACGGCAATCCTCGGATGAGCCCATATAAAAATCTTCTCGTCGACCCCGGAACCATCGTGAACAAAATAATCTCTTTCCGCTGAAACTACCCAAATGAAAAAAAAGCTTTAGTTTTCGACCTGCAGATTTTTTAACTTCTGATGAATTTGTCTTCAAGGTGTGAAGTTACCACGGATGATTTATTCTCGAGTAACAAAATATTGAAGAGGTTTCAACCTTTATTTTCGGCTGGAAGAAGTAAAAGTACTACTTCAAGTCGCAATTAATAATCGAAAGGAATAAATCGGAATATCAGTCACCAACAAAAATATGTCGAAGAAGTTTCACTCCAAGGAGTTGTTGATGAAGCCACAAAGAATATCTTTGAATCGAGTCTTGAAGTGGTTTAAACACTTTGAAATATTTGGAGTCCGATTGAGAAATAATTTCAATACTTTCTCCAGATTGTAGCGATGGGTGTATTCACAGGACCGACTCTTAAGACGATGTGCTATGGGACCTCAATGAAACTGCATGATGGGTTATAGTAAATCCCTGTCAAAATCACTGCTTCACCTAGTTGCTGAAAAGTACGATGGTGCTTATGGTGCTCTCGACGACAATATTCATAGCGATGATCCGGTCGCTGAACCAAAGCTTATTGGTTGACACCGACTTCACAACTCTCCTTCCGATTGTGACGCCCACGGTCCATCCAATCGCAATTATCTTATCACTTTACCGAGCTAATCATATTGATGTCTCTATCTACCAGTACTGGACGTAATACTGCTTATATGCGTTAAGCCATGCACTCAACGCAGAGTTGATCAATTCTCTGGAAAGATTTGTTGTTTGCGTGTCCGCCAATTAGTTTATCATTCATAAAAGTGCTGTATACCAGTACAAGTGGAAGGCAGAACAAATGCCATTAGTATGCGGTGGCGACAGCGGGTCGTTTTTTTTAAAAATTTTATAGTTAAAAAAAAAAAAAAAAAAAACTAGGGTTAGAAAATAAGGGTAGATGATTACATGGGTCAATGGAGATCCTTTTCAGTGCAGCCGCATGAAAGCCTTTTCAAAGTCGAAGGGAAAGGGAAGGGGTGCGTGCGAGAAACACTGTACTTTCCCCCGTGTGATAATAAAAGGGGTTCCACGCAGCTTATTGCAGAGCAAGGGAGGGGTGGATATTTTCTGATTGAGATTTTTAGAAGAAAAATACTCCTGAATACTTTTAATAAAGAAATATCGGTTCATTGGCCAAGGGGTGAATCTCTCGAAGTTCGGCTTGAAGCCTTTTCTTCTACTTCTTCATCTCCTTCTTCTTCTTTTCTCCTCCTTCTTCTTATTCTTGTTTTTCCTTCCCCTCTTTCTCCTTCTTTTTCTTTTTGTTCTTATTCTCCTCCTCCTCATTAATCCTCATCCTTCTTCCTCTTCTTTTTCTTCTTCTTTTCCTTCTCTTCCTCCTCTTCGTACTTCTCCACCTCCTCCTTCTCTGTCTTTTCTTCTTCTACTTCTTCTTATCTTCTTCTCCTTCTTCTTTTTCTTTATCTTCTTCATGACCAGGCACTGTTAAATGGGGTCCATCATTTTAATATGGGGCGTTCAAACAGCACTCCGCGGGGTTAGTAGGTGGTACGATCACAGCCATAACTCCGGCTTGGTTAATGCACCTTATGACCTACCTTGTGGTCTATTGTCCGTCTTTCTGTATCGGGATGAATGGTTGATTCGAGTCAAACTATAGAAACTCTTCAATCGGTCCTGTTCGCGTTAGGCTCGTAAAGTGATTACATAACTGAGAGCAAATTCACAAAAGGGATTGAGAGTACGTGGCGCATTAGTTTGATACTTTATAACCATGGTAAATGCATTTGGTTGAACTAACTGTTGGATGTCATTAGCACCGTTCCCAGGAGGAATTGCCCCCCCCCCCCCCCAAGGAAGGGAAAAGAAAAGAGATACGAAGTGGGAAAGAAAAGAAGAAAGAATGAATGAAGAAAAAGAATTTGAAAACGAAAGAAAGAAAATCTAAAGAGAGCTTTCTTTTCACAACTGTTAAATCCCTGCCACTTTCTTTTGTAATGCTTCCATCGGTTCCATTAAATGTATGATACCATCAAATCATAATTCCGTTTCCGTTTTGTAGGAACTTTTGCCTTGCATCAACAATAGGGCCTACAGAGCTCATGTTTAAAAAAGAAAATGCCATGCGCTTAATACAGCATACCATTTAAAAACTATATGATTACAGGAGTACGTCCTTTAAGATATCTAAACGTTAAAGGTAAAGACCAGTATTGGAAACGCCCCAATTTCAAAAAATGAAATGGAAACTCTCATTACCAATCATGTGAAAAAATATGTTTTGACTAATACATGATGATAAAAAATTTGCCGGGAAACCGCCTACTAATTCATATATTTGGTAAATTTGTTTCTCTCATGGTCTGTGAGAGATATAGGGTAGTCCCATATACATCTTTCTGTGTATAGTGCTTGTAACTTTACAAAGAATGGGCCAAATTTCTTATCATTTTGATGATTCCAGAACCTTGCAGATGCTAGATGATCAACCTTTTCTGATCGATTCCACAACGTTTCTTTCACAATGCAATCACATGACCATAACTGGTCTTTATCTTTAAGTGGCTGCAATCTATCAGTATTTCTCCTCCAACAGCCAATCACCCCCCCCCCCCCTTACTCCTCCTTTCAGCATAGGCTTAGGCAATAACATTACATCTTTGAGAGGGAGACATAATATATTTTACTACCAGCAGCGGCAATCTCCGGGGTATTTTGAAAAAAAGGAAAAGGGGATGATGTATTGGAAACGATAGAATATACTATATAATTCAGCACTGAAGTGTTTTAAATATTCAAAATGTGGAAACTCTTCTCAGTCGGACGCTCCCTCGCATATCATATACTTTTCATTACTTAAAAAAAAATGGTACAAGATCCTATAACCATGGGTGTCGATCCCGGGGGGATGGGGGATATATCCCCCCAATAGTTCAGGTGGGGGGATGGCCTGTACAATCATCCCCCCCCCCAATAATTCACCGTCAAAAAAAAAAAAAAAAAAAAAATGAAGAGAAAAATTAAGGATGAGAGCCCGATGAGAGAAGTTAATGGTTATTACTCGCAAGATGACCATCAATATACACATTTTGCTATCTCTTTTTATACGAAGGAAATAAGACAACCGTATATGAGACAAGAATAAATTGAATTCTCGCTCATAGTTATTACGGTTTCATCAGGAATTGATGAATTTATTCAATTTGTTCAATCAACAGCATCATAGAAATGCAGTGCGCCAAATGCAAAGACGCAGCGTCAAAAAGCAACGAGCTAAATGTTAAGCGCGAAGCGCAAAAATAGCAATCTGCAATGCACATCAGACAATCCTGGACAGTGTAAACATAGATGAACTCTGTGACGATTTCGTGATGAGATCAGAGACAAGGAGAAAGATTTTCGGACATTAGTATGACTTATAAAATAGTTCTCTAGTTGTTATGTTGTTTCCGTTCACCCTTTTTAAAATTCACGTCATTGTATCTTTATTTTTGTTTTTTTCACCCATTTTATTTCCTGATATTTCCTAAAAGATTTTTCATTTTTGGAGAAACATTATTATGTCACAACTTATTTGTCACACAAATTATTTTCAGTGGGGAAACTGAATTCAGACGTGGATTAAGCGTAATAATCAAATGAAACGTCAAAGTACACGATACAACGAAGCGTCTTCTTTTACGAATAATTTAATGAAACGTGAAAGCTTCCGCGCTAAGCGCGGAATGGGCGAAAATGGATACAGACAAGGATTAAGAGTAATAATTTATTGAAACGTTAAAGCTTCCGCGCTTCGTGCGGTAGGGGGGAGACTGAGTTCATGAAGGACACGATACAACAAATCGTCTTCTTTCACTAATGTGAAAGCTTCCGCGCTTCGCGCAAGAATGGGCGAAAATGAATTCAGACACGGATTAAGAGTCGAGAATGGTACATAGGATCGTCTTCTTTCTTTAATCATCTAATGAAACATCAGAGCTTTCGCGCTACGCGCGGGGAAGGGGGAATTTGATTCAAACATTAAGGATTAAGAGTCGAGAATGGTACATCGAATCGTCTTCTTTCTTTAATAATCTGATGAAACGTCAAAGCTTCCGTGCTTCGCGCGGTAGGGGAGAAACTGAATTCATGAAGGACACGATACAACAAATCGTCTTCTTTCACTAATGTGAAAGCTTCCGCGCTTCGCGCAAGAATGGGCGAAAATGAATTCAGACACGGATTAAGAGTCGAGAATGGTACATAGGATCGTCTTCTTTCTTTAATCATCTAATGAAACATCAGAGCTTCCGCGCTACGCGCGGGGAAGGGGAGCTCGATTCAAATAAGGATTAAGAGTCGAGAACGGTCCAACGAATCGTCTTCTTTCTCTTATAATTTAGTGAAACGTCAAAGCTTCCGTGCTTCGCGCGGTAGGGGAGAAACTGAATTCATGAAGGACACGATACAACAAATCGTCTTCTTTCTCTAATGTGAAAACTTCCGCGCTTCGCGCAAGAATGGGCGAAAATGAATTCAGACACGGATTAAGAAACGAGAATGGTACATAGGATCGTCTTCTTTCTTTAATCATCTAATGAAACATCAGAGCTTTCGCGCTACGCGCGGGGAAGGGGGAATTTGATTCAAACATTAAGGATTAAGAGTCGAGAATGGTACATCGAATCGTCTTCTTTCTTTAATAATCTGATGAAACGTCAAAGCTTCCGTGCTTCGCGCGGTAGGGGAGAAACTGAATTCATGAAGGACACGATACAACAAATCGTCTTCTTTCACTAATGTGAAAGCTTCCGCGCTTCGCGCAAGAATGGGCGAAAATGAATTCAGACACGGATTAATAGTCGAGAATGGTACATAGGATCGTCTTCTTTCTTTAATCATCTAATGAAACATCAGAGCTTCCGCGCTACGCGCGGGGAAGGGGAGCTCGATTCAAATAAGGATTAAGAGTCGAGAACGGTCCAACGAATCGTCTTCTTTCTCTTATAATTTAGTGAAACGTCAAAGCTTCCGTGCTTCGCGCGGTAGGGGAGAAACTGAATTCATGAAGGACACGATACAACAAATCGTCTTCTTTCTCTAATGTGAAAACTTCCGCGCTTCGCGCAAGAATGGGCGAAAATGAATTCAGACACGGATTAAGAAACGAGAATGGTACATAGGATCGTCTTCTTTCTTTAATCATCTAATGAAACATCAGAGCTTTCGCGCTACGCGCGGGGAAGGGGGAATTTGATTCAAACATTAAGGATTAAAAGTCGAGGATGGTACATCGAATCGTCTTCTTTCTTTAATAATCTGATGAAACGTCAAAGCTTCCGTGCTTCGCGCGGTAGGGGAGAAACTGAATTCATGAAGGACACGATACAACAAATCGTCTTCTTTCACTAATGTGAAAGCTTCCGCGCTTCGCGCAAGAATGGGCGAAAATGAATTCAGACACGGATTAAGAGTCGAGAATGGTACATAGGATCGTCTTCTTTCTTTAATCATCTAATGAAACATCAGAGCTTCCGCGCTACGCGCGGGGAAGGGGAACTCGATTCAAACAAGGATTAAGAGTCGAGAACGGTCCAACGAATCGTCTTCTTTCTCTTATAATTTAGTGAAACGTCAAAGCTTCCGTGCTTCGCGCGGTAGGGGAGAAACTGAATTCATGAAGGACACGATACAACAAATCGTCTTCTTTCTCTAATGTGAAAACTTCCGCGCTTCGCGCAGGAATGGGCGAAAATGAATTCAGACAAGGATTAAGAAACGAGAATGGTACATAGGATCGTCTTCTTTCTTTAATAATCTAATGAAACGTCAGAAGGGGAAGGGGAACTTGATTCAAACATTAAGAATTAAGAGTCGAAAATGGTACATCGAATCGTCTTCTTTCTATAATAATCTGATGTAACGTCAGAGCTTCCGCGCTATGCGCGGAGGAAGGGGAACTTTGATTCAAGCAAGGATTAAGAGTTGAGAATGGTACATCGAATCGTCTTCTGTCTTTAATAATCTAATGAAATGTCAGAGCTTCCGCGCTACGCGCGGAGGAAGGGGAACTTGATTCAAACAAGGATTAAGAGTCGAGAATGGTGATCGTCTCCATTCTTTAATCATCTAATGAAACATCAGAGCTTCCGCGCTTCGCGGGGGGGGGGGACTCCCCCTCCCTGCACGCAACCCCCTAGGGACCGCGCTTCGCGTGCTCACTACCGCCCCCTAGAATGAAATCCTGGCTACGCGCTTGGGGGGGGGGTGCAAATTGCCACACGCTTCTACCTCTTGATTGCTTTGATCCATTGCCGAAAATATTTTGGCACCTATCATCCCCCCCAACCACGGATACAAATCGACACCCTTGCCTATAACCTTATTACATAGTCAAAGATTCCATCGTGTGCTCATAAAAGCTATGGAGAGGAAAATTGTGTTTTGTTATACTCCGAAATTTCGGTAGCGATTATTCAAGGGGGAGGAGAGGTGGCGCTTCCTGTTAAAAAGTTCAAGCATTAAGCCCGGGACCGACGCCCCTCGATATTGGGAGTCTCAATATGACCATTACCAGCAATAACCCCCAGACTACGACCCAAGAATAACTACCCCGAACAACTCAGCTAGACTACCCATTTATAACAAAATCACCACTGTTACCTTCAGAAAACAACCAGGAGGGGTGGGGGGGGGGGTATTTCCCTGAATATAATGTTGTCTTGTTGGTACATGTGGATATCGGGGAAATTCCCTCACCTGCAATGACGTCACAGCACAAGCAAGCTTAAAAAAACTAGATCTAGCTCTAGACGTCTTTTGCCTTGGAAAGACAGAGTGGTAGCCTGTTTGCGACTTTATAATCACATACAAAGAGGTTAGCTTTTCACATGTATAGTTCTTTATCTTCTTAGCAAACGTTAATTGCATTTAAGTATGAAAATGAATATTTGAAAGGATTTTCAAAGACATTTGTGAACTCCATACTATTACCTACAGTCCCATATGTGTAGGAATTTGTTGGAATAGTATTTGCATTTTCGTTTGTTTGCGTTGTTCAACCATCCGAGGTTCGAGAACGCCGCGGCGTAGGATGGTGACGTTAAATTAAGTCGGTCCCCAGACGTAAATAATCATATCTGATTGATACACGTCTGTAAAAACCCAAATACACACACACGGCGTCGGTAGCGAGCTCTTGCATTTGCTAGTTGCAATTTTAATTCTTCTTCTTCTTCCAAGCCATTGTTTGTTTGCATGTGGATGAAAGGGTTCAAGTTTGCACATAATTTGCATTTTTATATTTAGAGTCTAGATAAAAATCATGGTCAGGGTAAAATTATTTTTCATATTCGAGTCGAGTCAATTCAAGTACGGTAGTCTAGACTATGTTTTATTCTTCTTCTTTTGTGTGTGTGTGAAATATTTGACCACAATTATGTTGAAAGATGTTTGTATAGTATTGGATTGCTTTGACTGATACAAGAATATATCGTCATAGCAAGAGCATATAATTCTTGTATCACACGTAAACAAAGCCATACGATATTATCATATCTAGAATCTATGTCAGGCTGACTCGCGAAATAACAAAATTTGAGTTACCTTGGTATAAAATGTACAGTGACCGAATACCAGCAAAAGTGTTGTTGATTTTCTATAATCAAGCAATATTGTATCGACAGTGGAAGTTCCCGTATGACAAGAGCATTACAAAAAACAATATTGATCTGTCATCCGGATACTGTGCTAAAGATATTAAATACACTGAATTAGTGTACCACTTTGAAGCCTTATATAGATAAAAATCTACAACATTGTAAAGGAACTGCATAAATGCATATCCAGGGTTCGAAGATAACAGGCACGTGCAAAATATGGGTGCCCCCCCCCCCAATTATATTTTTATTATATTTTTATTAGGGCTTGTGCATATTGTAAAAAGTTCAATCCGAACCTCCTTCCAAAAAAGTTAGTGTGGATCCCTGAATTTGCATATCATAAAATTGGTTTGTGGTGGTTTATTTGACAGGCAGTGTCAATTACAAATAGTTCATAGGAACCAGAGAGAAAAAGAAAGAGAGAGAAGACTGATACAACAAGGATTCAAATTGGCATACCTGTATTTCATCTTAATTATGTTTATTTCTTGCTTTTTCCCCGATCTTTCTTTGCAGTTAGAATTTGGAATGGAGATCTTGACCAGTTGACCATGATGAGGACAAGTATCATGTGACCTCATCCATCTGGAATGTGGAACTTTGATCCCGGTGGGATGGAGGCGACCTCCAATGACCTGCCCCTGATGTCAAACATCCATGACATCAGGGTCAAGCATTACCTTCTAGATCTCAAGGTGAACCTGGAGGACAGAGTCTTCACGGGGAGGACAACTCTCTTTTTAGAGCAGCCATCTTCCTCTAAAACCCGCAAGACCGGTCTGCTACCACAAGCAAGTGACCCTGCTCATTCCTCTCCATCTTCTAAGGGTGTTGGCGGTGACAAGGTAACTAATGAGGGAAACGTATCTGTTGCAAAGGATGTTAGGACTGCCAGGGTTCATGTTGGTCAAGAACATCTGGAAAGCAGCAGTTTCTGGAGGACCAAAGCATCTTCTGGAGCTAAACCTGGGGAAATTGGTCTACCTACAGAAGCATATGACTCGTATGATTCCAGTATGCCATCTCGTGGTGCTGGTGACAAGGTAAAAGTTGCAAATGAGGTGTCTAACAACAAAGATGTTTTTGAGACGGCAAGCATCTACGTGTATGTCAACCAAGAGCCAATGGAAAGCACCGAATCCCCGAGGGCCAAAGCAACTTCAGAAGCTAAACCGTTTGAGACAAGGCCAAAGTCAGAGGAAGTTCTTAGTTCTTTCAACAAAATAAATGAAGAACTTGCATCCCCTTGTCAAAAGATAGAGGATGACAAACCACAAATGAGCAAGGTTGCTTCTGAACAAAGTTCATCACACTTGTCTAGTCTTGAATTTCTTGATGATAAAATACCACAGGATAAAGACTTTGTCATGATACTAGACTGCTGTGATATTGATATCCTGGCGGTGGAAGAAATAATTCTAAATAAAGGCAAATTAGGAGTGGACACCACCTCTTCAGGAGAATTATTGGTTGAAAATCCAGACTCGCCTCTGGAAAACGTAGGAGCATCTTCCCCATATACTAACAAGAAAGCAGAGAAGGACTCAACAGGACAAGATGGAACTGCTGGGAAATCCCTTCAAGAAAATTTGAGTTTTAAGCCAAATGAATATAGTACTAGGAGAGAAAGATTTCTCTCTTGTCAGTCGATGGAGAGGAATCCTCTTGAGTTTGAGGTGGAGCCCTGGTGCCTGAAGATTTGGAAGAGAGGGGTGAAGAATCCAGCTGACTTTCCTGCTGCTGTGTGTATCCGGTATAGAACAAGGCCTTGCGGGAGGTCACTGACTTGGGCAGTTGATCAAGACGGTAGGTGAGTAATGTCCTCTGTAGTATCATTGAACTTCTATATTTATGATGAAACGTTTCATTAGTTCCTGTAGGTCCTTTACTGTAGAATTAACATCCAGTTTTTCATGGAGCCCAAAGACTTGGTTTTATGATTCAAGAGGCATTTATACATCCACAGTTGGGAAGGGATTGCGTATTATACTTTTGAAGCACAATCGTCTCTTTACAATAAACTTTACTAAGGATAATAACCTGTGGGTCCCATCTTTTAAAGAGCTGTGTTTGATCTAAATTTATCACAACAAACTAAACTAAACATGTATTATGTAACTTTTCGATGGATTAGAGGTTTTACTAACGCGTGGGTTAATAGCATCTCTTTATACGATGGGGCCTTGGTATAGGCTGGCACTGGATGAAAATGCGCACGCCCCCGGCCCCCCCCCCCCTCCCCATTCATTTCAACTCCAATATGTAAATAGGTTACATTTTCATCTTCATTTTCAACAATTTGATAATGGTGAAGTAATTAATGTATTTTCTTCCTTTTTATGATTACTCAGGCCATGTGTATTTACGCAAGGAGCATGGATCAACAACCGGTCTCTCTTCCCGTGCCAGGAGCCTCCGGGCGCCATGGCAACCTGGCAAGCCATCATCCATGCCCCCGAGGAGATTATGGTTGTCATGAGTGGGGATGAGGAAGGCAGGGTGCTACAAAAGAAAGATGGTAGAGGTGCAGATCTTTACTTATACTTGTATGTCTGTCTGTCTGTCTGTCCCTTTCTCTCCCTCTGTGTTTGTCAATGTTTTTGTATTTCTCTGTCTCTCTCTCTCCCTCTCTCTCTCTATCTCTGTCTCTCTCTCTCTCTCTCTCTATCTCTGTCTCCCCACTTTTTCTCTCTCTCTCTCTCTCTCTCTCTCTATCTTTCTTCCTCTCTCTCAGTCTCTCCCTGTTCTTCTGTTTCATTTATTGTCTTTGTAAGATTTACATTGTACTACACCATAGATTTGACACCCAAAACATGGTAATATTCAATCAAATGTAATCATTATTTATTTTTATGTCATATTGAATACCAAATTGTAGATACCCGGTAAGCAAATCTCCTTTTCAATAATGACAAGGGGCAATGGTTGTGCGTCAAGATATAGGATTTTTTTCCTTTGCTCAATAGATTGTAAATCAATTTTGAATGTTCAACTTGTCAGAAATATGTGTCCATCTTGTAATATTCTGAAAATCAATTTCAGCTTGCAATTTATAATTATCTAAAAGTACTGGAACCCTCCCAAAAGCATACAAACTTATATTACCCCTTATCTATTCCAACCTCTATCTCCACTACCCAGGAATGGTGTCCACTCTCCACTTCACCGATATGCTGCAACCCAGCTCCATTGTTACCCTTGCGATTGGAGGATGGAGATGTTACAATGTACCAGTCTCTCAGCAGCCTGGAGATCAGTGGCAACCAGATAAGAAGCATTTGTTTTCATTGACAGAATGCAAGGTTGGGATTGACAGGTAAGCTGCCATTTATTTGAGCTGCTTTGTTTTCTACAAAACCAAATTTGTATTACTTGCCTCAGAATATCTTTATGTTTTTTTTGTTTGACATTTTATCTTGACAAATAATGTGTTTTGAAAATTTTCCATTCAAGATTTTTTGTTTCTCCAGGCCAACATGCAATTGTAGTTTCATTGTCTCAAACTTGCATTGCTACAGTAACTGTATATCAGTTTATTTTACAATCTGGTAAATCATAGTTTTTGTCTTTTTTTTATTGTTTATTTTTTGAAATTGTATTTCGTCGCTGTTTTCACGAAGTGACGGTAGTGAAAAAAAATTGCATTCACTTTGCGTTACGATTTTCCTCGCTACCGTCACTTCGTGAAAACAAGGACGATTTGTTTGGTATATAAAGAGTGACCTGCAGCTCAGGCTGAGACGGTCACTACACAAGGTAATTACATATTAACAATTTAATTTTACACTTACAGATACAGATCTCAATAATTATATACGAGAGGGAAAATATGATATAATAATTCGATTTTTTTTTTTTTTTTTTTTAATTTTACATTCATTTTTCTCTAAGTGCCATGAGCACCGAAAGGTGGACCTGTGCGCTATACAAGTAGCCACTTTTATCATTATTATTATTATAACACCATACATCTTTGCAGGGCAAGTTCTCAGTCGCATTGCAATCATGACGAGTGGCCCTGTCGGATGGGATGCTACGACCAACCCATCATCCCGTCCCGGATCATAGCCCCACCCTCCATCCTGGATGCAGCGGTGAAGGAGTTCTCCTCATATCTACCAAAGTGCCTGTATGCTGTTTTCAGACTTCTAGGGCCACACCCGTTCTCACGGCTGGATGTGCTTATCTTGCCTCGCTGCTTTGCGAGTCTTGGACTGGCGAGGTGAGTTTGTAATAAAATGTACTGAAGTTCGTATCAATCTGTTGTAATTTTTGTATCCTAAAAACAACTTTGAGTTGGTAGGTGCTTCGCAAAATAGTTTCCTTAAAGGGTTATATGACAATTTGTTTATACATGTTGTACAATTGCAAACAAATATCCCCTTCAGGTATCATCAGATAATTGTTGACAGCTGGTCACACTTGCAGTCCCTGTATTATATAAAAGGGGGGCCCAAATGGGTCAGATAGTTGTCACATTCCATGTGCAGGTTATAATTCACTGACACCAGACTTGATAGAAATACCATGAATGGGTGTACAAGTCTTGCAAACAGCGAACCCGTAGTCCCATCAAAGATACCCCCTAGTCTCTCAGAGAGTCCTCGGGTGAGAGAAATGCATTAAAGGTAATGACTTTGCTATAAACGGGGATGGTTGAAAAATGCAGAGCATTACATAAGGCACCAGGGCCCCGTCTTACAAAGAGTTGCGATTAATCCATATCAATCGCGAGTCCTCCAATCAATCGCAAGTTTGCAGTTTGCGATTGCTATCAACTCTTTGTAAGATGGGGCACAGAATGGTGTCTAATTCCCCATGAGAGCCCACTTCTATGCATTATTAAAGCAGGTTTCACTGCATTTCTTGTAACCGATACAGCCCTAGCCTGATCTTTCTCTCCCAGTCCCTCCTCTCTGGCGATGGAAGCTTCTTGCCCCGCCTAGCCCATGAGATCAGCCACTCCTGGTTCGGCATCTTGATCGGAGCGCGGGATTGGACGGAGGAATGGCTGAGTGAGGGGTTCGCCACTTTCATGGAGGATCCTGTTCATGCTGTGGCTCAGAATGTAAGGAAGATTGATGTTTAAATGTATCAATCGCCAAAAATAAAATTGTGTATAGTGAGAATGTATTTTTTTTTTTTTTTTTAACTCAAAAACTTATCTTCTGTCTTATGGGCTAACGGATAATGAGTATGAAGAAAATAAAGAATAACAGAAAAACGCGCTCACTGAACCCTAATCGGACTTAAGATCTGTGCAGGCCCTATTCTATGCATTCATATTTTCCCTTACACACATATACCCTAAATTAAGTTATTACAAATAGGTTTCTATATAACCCCTCATGATTCAAATCTATTCCGTTATCAATAACTACAAAAATGAAAGATTATGAAATTTCTGTACAGTATCCTGGAGAGTAGCTCGCAAGATACGTCATAGTGTTACAAATTTGTGTTTCATTGCTGACAGCTTCAAAAATGTAAATCCCCTATATTTAATTTCATTTTTCTGCTTATATTTAAACCATGAAGATGAAGCGAATCACCCCTCTGGCTCCAGAACATATAGGACAAAAGCTTGTTAGGTCTAATGCTGTTACCTTTCTTATCTTTCCCCGAGTGGACGTCCAAACAGTACCAGGACCACTCCAAGCTCAAGGCCCTACTCAGGTACCAAGCCTTGAAGGCAGAGCTGGAGAACACCGAGTCCGAGCTCCAAATCATGAGACCCATGGCTGAAGGACCAGGAACTGGTACAGACGTTGATGATGGTGGTGGTGGTGGTGGTGGTGATGTTGGTTTTGTGAAGAATGGTCTCAACCCAGATAAGTGGTTTCTGCAGGTGCACTATTTGAAGGTAAATGAACCTTTGATGTTTTTGATAGTTCAGTATCATCATCATGTTCAATATGTAAATCAGTCTCAACTGAGTGACAGTCATAAGCATGTACCGGGTAGTCCATACAGAGTATTTTATCGTACCTATTCAAGGCAACGCCATTTCTTTCCATCTCTCTCTCTCTATCTCTCTCTCTCTCTCTCTCTTTCTCTCTCTATTCTCCCTCTATCTCACTCTCTTCTCCCCCTCCCACTCTCTGGCACCTAACAGACATCTCTCTTCTTTTCCCCTTTTTTCCTTTCTATATTATTCCCCTTCATCCACTCTCTTCATTTCTCCCTCTCTTTTCTTTTCATTTCTCTTTCATCTGTTTCACATCATATCCCTCTTTTACAGATTTTCACTCTATTTGTACACCTCAACACATGTCTGTACCTCTCTCTGTGGGTAGGCTAATTGGTTGTAGGGTAGCAATCTTAAGCATTGAACAAATTTGGAAGCATATGCGATCCTACACTATTCAATGATCGTTGCATGTCGCGGTTGAAATCAAGTCTAAAGTGATGAAACTGTAAACGATAATCTCTTTAAGTTGTATAGCTCCCTCTCAAGATTTATGTTACTTTAGCTTTAAAATAATGTTTCTTGACACAAAACACATCAAACTTACAAGGGGTATGAATAATTTATTTGTTAACTGTAGATACAGAAATGTGAAGCATATTACACTTACGTCATCCCCCCCCCCCCAACAAAAAAAACAAAACAACAACAACATTATATTACAAAAGAATAGTGGTTTACCAACTTATGTCTGAACAAAGCTCCTAGGCTGTACCATCACCATTATTAGTATCATTGGTTTATAACCTCCCTCTCTTTGTTTCTTCTGAACAGGGTTATTTTCTCCTCCATCACATCGCCGGGCGTCTGTCCATGGAGAAAACCCTTCAGTTCATCAACCTCTATGTGACGCGTTGCCATGGGCAACTGGTCCTGTCAAAGGACATCTTCCAACTCCTGTTTGATGAGTACCCTGAGATAAAGTAAGTGCAGAGATCAAATTCAGGATGCTCCGAAAAGCTTTTGTCACTTGTATGCTTGTAAGCAAATTGGCAAAATGTTGTTGTTTTATGTTGTTTTAATGTCAGGAGGGGAAGGGGATGTTCGGGGTGTCGCATTGCTTGCATTTTATTCTTTCCTTGTGCAAAACATTTTAATACACTCAACATTGAATCTTCATTTGTATGTGTTAATTCAATTCTGTTTCGATTGTTGATTTTAAGTTATATTATAACTTATGATAATCCATCCACTTTTCAAATTTTATTTTTGTCAAGCAATGTATTCTTTTATTGTGTGAAATGTATTACTTTTCAACAATGATATTATTTGTATGTATGTATTTCATTATGTTGTTCAATATGAATATCTCAATGTTCAGTCATTTTTTTTTTGTGAGCATCTGAAAGGGGTTAAATAAAGTTCCAGTTCATAATTTGTTGTATTACTAATAGAAAATAGCTACATGATATCAATGTTCACTTGTACTATTAAAATAGTGTTTGATGTTCAATATTGTTAGGACATTTAAATTTTTTGACGTGAATTCTTGAACTCTTATTATATTTTTCTTCATCTAACACCTTTTAGAGATCAAGGCATTACCATGGAAACTATCTATTCTGACTGGTTGAATAAAGCAGGAATGCCTGGAGACTTGAGCCCAGATATCTACAAGCAAGGGAATGCTCTTATTTCCGATGTGATGGCAGAGGTAATGGAATCCATCAAATATTCTGATATTTTCATCACATTATCCACAAATTAAATGAAATTTCTTGGTATGCTGTTTTTAAACCAGATATTGATTTGTACATGCAGGTCTGATAATTACCCGATTTAAATTGGTTTTCCTGATGATTTTTTTTCTTCCCTGATTTTACCCCTCTCTTCCCTAATTTTCCCCAAATTTTTCACAATTTTCTCACTCAAAAGGGGGGTGGGGGGAAATGTTGTTCGATGCCATTTTTTTCCTGGAATCCTTTTTTTTTTTTTTTTTTGCTCAAGGGAAAACAAAACTTTTTTCCTTTCTCTTTAGTGCTCACTATCACCCCTGTACATGACAAGAAAGCATAATGTTCATAAAGAGAAAAATATGTAAGATGGCTTAAATTTGAATATGGTTTGATAAGAAATCAACCATCGTTTGTCAAATTATTGAAATAAACCTTCCATTTAATTGAAGGGTATTGTTTTGTTTTTGATATTTTAATTTATAAACCATTATAGTCCTGTTGCTTTAGAATGATACACGTAGAATGTAGATGACATGTATTTGAATTCATAAGTTAGTGGTTTCACCATGTGGGCAGTCCTGGAAAGGACTGTTGGCTTTTTAAAGGGGATAGAAAAGAAAGTGATAGAGAGGTATTCTTTCAGTATCGTTCTATGAAGGACTACTTGGATTTGCATAGAAAGAGGCAGAGAAATGAAGAGAGTTATTCTTTCGTGAGTGGATTCCTGAGAAAGACTGGAGAACCAGGTTATGAAGAGAGATTGAGGCTCGACGTTCAAAACAGGTCTACTGTTTGTTGTCAGTTGTATACATGCATTTGTTTACCGTATGTCCATTTTACAAAACATTTGTTTACAAAACATGATATGAATATCTGATATGATATATATATGTTGGTTTGACAGGTCAAGAGATGGAAGGCACTTGACAAATTTCATCAGAAGTCCAATAAGAAGAAGAAGAAGAAGAAGCGAAAGATAATGTCTTCCGAGTTTCAGGATCACCCTGCTTTAAAGGTAAAGGTGTTTACATCGATTCACATAGTACCTTTACAATGGCATATGGATTAGTTTCTAACTTGTTGTGATAAAGAGTATGGTTTTATTTCATTTATTTATTATTTAAAAATTACGAGGTTTGAATTTTTTGGTCATTCTGATAGTAATCCTCTCATGGCATGTTATACAGTGTACATGTAGTTTTTTTCTTTGATTAGTAAGTTATTACCTATATAATAAGTAAAATATTACCTATATCATTAGTAAAATATTACCTATATAATTAGAGAAATATTACCTATATAATTGGTAAAATATTACCTATATAATCAGTAAAATAGTACCTATATAATTAGTAAAATATTAACTTTACAATTGGTAAAATAAACATATATAATAAGTAAAATATTACCTATATAATAAGTAAAATATTACCTTTCGTTGGAAGTGAATTATGTTCTCAAGGCTCATAACCCGTGTGTAAACTTTGTATAAGATGATGAAGTGGATCCTAATCAAATGATTGGTTGAAAGCGTACACATGACCAGGCATTTATTTTGCCTAACACGAAATTTAGATAATGACCGGTCATTATCCAATTCTAATGACCGGTCATTAATCAAATCATGTTATAAAACATAATTTTATATGACAAATAAAACATAATCTTAATAATCAAATGATACACAGCATTTTGTTCGGGTATTAGTAAAATTTCCCACACTCGGTACATTCAGAACAGTCCAAACACCCTCGGCTACCACCTCGGGCGTGTTAGACTGTTCCAAAGGCACCTTGTGTGGGTAATTCTTACTAATGCCCTCACTGCTGTGTATTATTTGTATACTATCCTCTGAGGGTCCTGCTTTTTTCACCTCAGTACCGAGTTGAGTTGGAAGGTACCCATTAAATACACCTGGGTCAAGAGAGATGTATGTGGGTAAAGTACCTTATGTGTCGAGAGACGTAGCGCATATACCACAATGTATATCAAAATAATATATATAAAATAAGAAAATAATTTTTCTTTGTAGCTTACTCCAGATCAGCTCATCCTCCTCCTGGAGGGCGTCTTGGATGCGGACACCATGGCAACGCAAACCCTGGAAGATCTTGATACAACCTACCGCCTCAGACAGCAGAATGCCGAGGTGCGACATCGCTGGTGTGAGCTCGTCATCAAACACAAGCTCACCAAGGCCAACCCGGATGTGCGTCACTTCTTGATGGAAGATCAGGTACCAAAAAAAATTACGCTGTTAAGTAGCTTTTTTGTGAAAGGTGGTGTTGTGTAAAAATGCACTCAGAAAGCAAAATACATAATTATTGTATAATGAACATAATTTTAACTATATGGCATAGTCTGATAAAGATAGAACCTTATCTCTTTTTCCTTGTGATTGGATTATGAATGTACGTTTTCCTTTTGTAATTCATGTAAATAAGACGAAAATAAGACGTATCACCCTATATGGACAATAAACCATAAACAATATCATTTGGCCTTGAGCTGCTGCATATATTTTTAAAGGCACTTTAATAGTGCGCCATGTAAGGATTAGGATTAAAAGTTGGAAAGTCATCATAGAACGTTAGCTTAGATTGCAGCAGACAAAGAGTCAGAGATACATTTATGTCGATGACGTTTTTTTTTAAATCGCCAAACAATAAAAAAAAATTGAATTTTTGAATGTCACACTGTTTATACAGGGATCTCCAATTCAAATTGATAATACAGTAACGTTTGAGCAATGGAGAACTTAATCACTTATTACCAAAATTAGCCAACAGGCCTTACCTCAAATTTCACGATGGTAGCTAGAACAGACATCCTCTTTTTTTGGGGGGGGGGGCTGGAAGAATGCATGAAAACTCAAATGGCGACTTTACACAATGATAGATATAATGTTATCCTTGATGTTTATGCAGTCTTTCTCCTTATCACCCTTCTCAAATTCTAGGCCATGGGTGTGTATCTCTACGGAGAACTGATGGCCTCGGAGGATGCAGTCCAGCAGGAGCTAGCCAGAGACTGCTTCAAATTGGTTGCCATGGAGATCGACAGAGGATGTTACAGAACTGTGCATGAGATGGTGTATGGAGAGCCAGCCGAGAGAGATGATAACTGATCATCTCTGTTGTTTTCCAAGGAGGATCTAAAGACCTAGAGCAGGGCTTCTCAAAGTCTGGACCGCGGGCCCTGAGGGGTTCCCCTTTCTTTTTATTTTTATTTTGAATTGAAACAATTCCTCTGATACATCAGATATAGACCTAAAACAAGCCTCATTTTCTTCAGTATTTCAAGTGTCGAATTGTGTCAATATGAAATGGCTGTGTATGAAACAAAATTAAACAATCATGATAACGTTCGAGATGTATCCGGCTTCCCAGCAAGTAATAGTACAATGTTCTGCTTCATTCAACGTATATACAAATGACCATCAAGGAAGAAGTCTGAGAATCACTGACCTAGAGGATGCTTCAGGGCCCTGTTACACAAAAGTTACCATTGATGGTAACTTGTTACATCAATGGTAACTACCATGGAAACCTTGATTTTGATTGGCTGTTGAGCCCTGTTGATGGCAAAGTTACCATCAATGGTATGGTTAATGCAATGGGCACAGAATGGTACCCGAGATGGTCTTTGGAGAGCCTGCCGAGAGAAATGATAACCGGTCTGCTTCAACTTGCCCCCAAGTAAAGAGCTGAGTGGGATAAAATATGGAGAGCCTCCTGAGAGAAGATGGCCGATTCATTCAAAGCAAATGCATTCAAATTTGGATATCTGCACCGTTCTTGTCTATGTGATCATGACCATATGTGTTCAGTTTACTACAGAATATATGTTATTGTGGAGGTGCCTAAATGAATAAAGATCTAATTTTTACTGGATTTAATTGGTTTCAGGTTTATACGTCAAGAGTGTATGGGGCATTCCCTTTTAATACAAACAGTGGTCTCTGGACCAACCTTTTATACCTTGTTTTATCAGGAATCTTGTTATATCAGGGTTAACACAAAACTATTTATATAAAGAGCTTGGACCAGGAAAATCACCTTTTTATACCATCACTACAATCACATACACACACACACAAGTAAATGAATACTTAAATTCACCAAAGACAACTCCAATAAAAGAGTCAGAGCCGATATGTAAGTTGTTTGTTTCATATCAAATTTCATTTAAATATTACAAAAAGACATATACAATCACACCAGGAAGGGGAATAGTGCAGAGATGCCAACCCTTCCTGATTTTGGGGGAGGTTCCCTGAAAATTTGTACTTTTTTGATAGGTCACTCCACACAAATTTTAATGCCTCCCTAATTTTTTGAAAGATTATTTTTATTATGCTGTATGCAATCGATAGAAACCTCCCCGATTTCTGAATGAATCCTCCCTGAAAGCTGAATGTAAAGGTTTGCATATCTGAATAGTGTCTGGAACATTTTATGGAACCACTAATCGCTCGCGGAAACAGGGGGCATAAGGCAGGTTTTTTTTAAACTGTTACCCTGAAATCTACCAAGAAAAAAAATCAAACATATAGACATTTCATAAAAATTAATTGATCAAATTCAAATTTTTGTTAAAAAAAGAAAGAGAAAGGGAGAGGTGTAGGAGAGGGAGAGTTGGAGTGATGACAAAGAGAGAGTAAGAGAGAAAGAAAGAGAGAGAAAGAAAGAAAAAAGGGAGATGAAAGGGAGAGAGAGATGAAGAGACAGACAAAGTGTACCAGGTTCCGCACACACATAAACTTTATAAAAATTTGATGACATATTCATTGATTGCTCTACATTATAAAATATATATTTATTACCTAATACATCCATATATATTACTAGTATCTTAAATCGTATACCATACAATTGACAACATGGTTCATGTTACACAAATGTTTCATGTTTATACAGTTGGCATAAAAGACAGTGATATTAACTAGTAGACAGAAATACTTTTCAAAGATAACCTGCAGCACACGAGCATGTAATAATATAAAACAGATAGCAGGGTTTCGTTTTTTATCTTTACCAGATTGCACATGATGGCAGTTTGAGTCTCTACACAAACTTAAAATCTACCCAAAATTTAAAAAAAATATGTTTTACTTTACATGTTAGGGGTTTAATGTCACTATACTACATAATTATTCACAATAAAAGCTTAAAATACTACTTCTACAGAGAGATATTGCAAGTTTAAATACTCTCTCCATGAACATAAAAGTGACTTGTGAGTGATCTACTCGGTGCACCATAACGCATTCGCACCATATAGAAAAGAGCCTGTAGGGCACCATGCAAGTCCGACTTTGGCTCCGTGAGGGAGGTTTTAGGTTATCCTTAATTTACTTTATACTCCTTTTGGCCCGTATTCAATTCAATACTTACGTACAAAGCTTTTTACTTCGTATTTGGCTTAGATAAAATACTTAGACAATTTTGGTATTCAATTCAAACTTTTGGCTTGGTATTTTACCCTAAATTTAAGACAGCTCCCTACCAGACTTAAGCCAATTATTTGGAGGCCTTGATTGGCAGGCATGTGGCTTTCTTACGAGCAGTATCATAACCTGCGCACAATTTTATTAGCGCACTTTTATTGCGAGCCGTTAATTGTGCATTACTTTTTATTGACTGTGTGATGTCACAATGCTTATCAGTAAGTATTTTACTTAGATTTTGTCTCAGGTAAGTAAAAGTCTAAAAATGGGATATGAATATGAGATAAGTAAACTTCTTAGCTCAGCCATTTACTTAGTAAATTTCTTACTTATTCTATTAAAGTATTGAATTGAATACCGGCCCTTCTCCGTGAGCCCATAAGATACCTGCTAAGAAAAGTTGTGGTTTATTTTATGTATTCTTGCTGAACACTTGCTATTAACTTAAAGCCATTTTTTAGTACTGGATGTGAAGCTTTATTTCAAGAAAGGAGGAAGGGAGGCACGACGGCTCAGTGACAGTGGTAGAGCGTTGGTTTCCTAACCTGAAGGTGCTGGGTTCGAAACCAAGTCAATGCCATAATGCCCTTTGGGAAGTCACTCAGAGAGGACTTAATAAAGTCGTTGGTCCCCTGCTTACTTACTTACAAGCATACACATGAATTCTTAGCATTTAGGTCAAACAAACAAATAAGATTTTTGTTTAAGTTAGAATGAATATGTAACCCTTTATGTAACAATTATGAGTTCTATATTTTAGGCCAGCCAAATGTAACACAATATTGCTAAAACACTCCATTTTCCAATCAAATGGCTAGATTCTTTCTACAAAACACACCGGTAATAAAAATGAGTAAGAACCTTGATTACAAATGTCCATTAATATGGTAATAAAAATTGCAAACAGTAATGATGTTTATGGGTATAACAAACAGTTCTATGAAATATTTTAAAGATCCTGACAAATTCACTCATCAAATCAGGCTAAAATGCAGACTATGAAAATATGTTAAAATGTAAAACAAGAAAAGTAATCGAAATAAAATTGTAAGCAAATCAAACATTTGTAATGCAAGGAATATCACACACAGTAAAGGAGTTTAAAATGCTAGTAGCCATATAAATGGAACCTAAATGAAATTTGTTTGGCTCTTTCTCATGCTCCAGAGAGAAAAATAAAGTTTAGAGACCTGGAAGCTCTGATATAAAATTAGAATTAACTTTATATACCAGTACCTATTAAAATCTTTTGTTCTTTCTGGCAAGATTCATAACAATTTGTAAGGACATCTAAAGGGGAAGGGCCTTCCTTGAATTAAGTTTCCTTTGATCGAAGCAAAGAAATGAGAGAAAAAGAATCAGAAATTTTTAGGAAAACCTGACAAAGGATGAGTTTGGATGTTGTAATATTTCGGTTCCTTTGTGAGAAGAAGCTGTACATTTTTTTTCTTCCGAGAGTTTTCTTTCAAGAAATGATTGTTCAAACCTATTATGACATGTTTTTACAAACCCCTCAATCCCCTACAGATTCTCTACATTAAGAACAAATAAGGTGGTCCCTTTTTTTAACTCTCAGTTTTAAAAAAATAATACAAAAAAATATGTATTTATAAATGGATGGCTGCTCTGTTGGATCAAATGCAACTTTTAAAATTTACATTTTTTCTCACAGATTGAATTTTCCTGTCTCCGATACGGGTTGCTTATTTTTTAATGTTTTTATTACATGAATGACAAACAAGATATCTGAGTGAACTTGCAACCTGACAAAAGACAACTTTCTCATGATGGACAGATACATAATATAATCAACCCAATAGAACTTGGGAATCTTCAGGTACACTGGCTATAACCGAGTACATAATGAACAGTACAAGTAATAGATGATCATTTGCATAAAAAAACATATAAAAAACCTTCCTTTAGTCATAAGGAATTGCATCTACTTTGATATCGAGGGGTCAGTGACACAAAGACGTAACTCTATTTTGGCCATTTTGAGAAAAAGTGGTTTATGTGTCACTGAGCACTTGGGCCTTGAGGAGTTAAGTCTATGTTCACTAGCCATTGACTTCAATGGGTTGTCGGGTGGAGTAAAGTCTTTGTGTTTCCTGGAAAGCCCACATTTTTCTGAACATTTTGATATCAAATACTCATTTTGACGAGTTACGTCTTTGTGTCACCGAACCCTCGATATGTGACACCGGAAGAGGATTAGCAGTCGGAGTAAGCAGGGGGTGCAGTCGGGACCGCACCCGAATCACCAGGAGGAAAATGATATGTAACGGAAGCACCTGTAGATGGTGGTGGGTAGGGCATGGAGAAGGGGGGTGCAGAGGGGTATGATGGAACCGATGCTGGTGGGGGGTACTTGGTGATATCGTCGTAGGACGGTGGTGGGAGGTCCGGTTGACCGGGGTCAGGATCGACAGCAGTGGCTGGAGGGATGTTGTCCCCATCCTCGGCTCGTATCATAGCACCCGACTCGAGGGGTCCTTCGATTCTTGTCTGGGTCGTTATCTGCACATTGTTTGGTGGTTTCTTCTTATCTCCTTTACAACAACAGTAAAAACAACAGCTTATTCCAAATAATGATCCGATGACGATTCCAGTTATTGCCCCTCCTGACAAGCCACCCCCTCGTCCTGTAATCAGGGAACACAAAATGACGAAGAGAAAAATTTAGAATTCTATTTAAAAATTCCTCATGATCAGATAATTAATAGATTTTCATATGAACTGATTTTCCTTCAGAGCGATTTACTTTTAAGATTGGATATCCTTTGATGTCACAGATCATCATTTCATGTAGTCATTATCATTAACACTCGTCTGGTTTTGTTATTCCATTCCCCTTTTCCCCAGAGTAAACCTGAATAAAGAAACAATCAGGAAAATAGTATCATGGGTACATCTATGTTATAACTATTGCATGAGAAAATCTGTCACTGCAATTCAAAATAACTTTGCTACACCACTAAGGGGTCTGGTTACCAATCACCAAAAAAAATATTGATTTCTATAATTATACCACAAGACACAAAATGCTTGTCAGAGATGGGGCATTTGGCACCACCCCCCCCCCCTCCCCCATCCACCTTTTGTATATTCTTGATCCGCTCTTATTTATTCTCACCTGTGGCGTCGCATGCTACACCTACATCTTTTGAATGTGTGCAGTCGTGTACTCCCCAGCCGCTGTGATCGCAGTGTTCCAATCGCACTTCCCACCCCTCGCACGACACGGAATCGAGCCAAATCTGGCCCTCCACAATACCATACCCCTTCTGATCGGCGGTGAAGTAATCTGTTTTGCCTGAGAACCCCAGCTGCCCGCAGACCACTTCGCTAGCTGCCCTATCCCAGCTATCATCGCAGACGCTGCCCCACTGAAAGTCGTTGAAAATCTCCAGGCGCCCTTTCCGTTCTGAGGGGCCATCGACCAATCGCACTTCTCCGTTACCTACACCAGTCAATGATTAACAAGGGGTAGAACTGATGTATTAAATAGGACAAATTAATAGAAAAAAATATAATAAAATCAAGTAAACCAATTCTAAAATACAAAAGTTTGGATTATTATCAGAAGGCAGTAAAGATGTACATTATTAGAAGTCAATGATTACCGTAATTAACGTTGTATAAACCGCCCTCGTGTATTAACCGCACCCCTCTTTTTCGCCCCTGTCAGCAGCAAGCCAGGTCCGTGTTAAAAAAACCCATGCGGGAAGGCCTTTCATTTAACTGCGAGGTGCAGCTGAATGTGTAAGATCATTAATGTAAATTAAAAAACAGTAGAGGACCTAGGATAGAACCTTGTGGTACACCGTGTGTAGGAATTATTATTATAAACTACATATTGAGATCTATCAGAAAGATTACTTTCAAACCAAGATGACAGACAAATTTGAGTGTTGTTCTAGTTTCCTAGTGGTGAGTCAACATACCGATTACTGAGCTGGGAGAAATTGCCAGGCATAGCGCCAGATGGAGGGGCATAAAACGGTGAACTTATTTTGGTGTACCCTGTATAAACCGCACCCCCGACTTTGAATTTTTTTTGGCGGCAAAAAGGTGCGGATTATACACCGTTAATTACGGTAAATCAACCCCCCCCCCCCCACACACACACACAAAAAGCAACTACAGCACCTATACACACATACATGTAGTTGTGCCATTCAAATAGTAACAGAGGACATTCAATGAAAATTACAAGTATGAAATATGACCAATAATTTATCCCTAGAAACCAGGAAGTTTGCAGATGATATTCACATAAGTTTTAGGTCAATTGCCTATCAGACAATAACAACAAATTAACACAAATACAAGAAATTCTCAGGATCTGGCTAATACGATGGTTTCACGAGAAGATTTGGTGATGTTTTGATAATGTAACGTCTGGGTCCAATCCTGCTTACGCAGACAACATCCTATAACTAATGAACATATTTTCAAACGTATTACACACCATTACAAATGGAAAGTGATGCTGATGCTGAACATTATAATCCTTTAATTGCTTGAGAAAATTCAGTGCAAGGATAAATGATCGGCTGAAAAGAAACCCACTGAAATATCAGCCCATTTTCTAATTGAAAAGCTATAATCCTTTGCTTAGGAAAATTCAGTGCAAAGATAAATGATCGACTGACTTAAAAACCACCTAAATATCAGCCCATTTTTCGATTTGAAAAACTCGCAGAACGAAAGATTGGATGGTGTCCGATCGTAGTTGAAATGCTGCACATGCATCGGTGTATGTAGCTGAATTGCTTCTTTCTTACAATCCATTGTGAAGCTACAACTGATTTCTCTATTTTTTTTCATGTAGCTGCATTTTTTCATCAAAATGAAACCATGTTCGAAATTTATAGTGAGGCAACTGATGAAAAGTTTACATTGACACTGGTGAATGAAGAGAAATAAGTGAAGAGGAGACAACAAAACGTTTACTGGAAATGTGTGAATTGTTATAGGACATCGTCTGCTTATGCTAAATCGGTCCCTAGAGTGACTGCACAAATCTCGGCAGTGTTTAGAGAGCTCTTCACGTGTGAAAGTGGGGCTGTATTTTACCGTTTTAAAATTGATACTAACTGGTATTTCGAGTGTTTCCAAACAGAGAATTTTGAAAAACTAGTTTGATCTATGAAAGTACATGTATGGTGGTCTGGTGGATAGGTCAATGGACTGTGGATCACATCAACATGGTCCATGGCTCGAGTCCCTCCGTCCCCTTGCAAAACCTTAAATGTTACATTTTCTGTCCTATTTTGTTCAATTTTCACCAGACCGATTTTTCTGCTCTCTTTTAGATTACCGGTAGTTCATTATCAGTAGCTGCGCCATGTTGATTGACATACAGGTACAGTCAAACCTGCCTACAGCGACCGCCCAAGGGAAATACAAAAAGTGGTCTTTGTAGGCAGATTCCTTTAGTACATGTTTAAATGAGAAAACCACTTTCAAGGGAAACAACAAATGTGGTCCTTGTAGAAAGGTGGTCTTTGTAGACAGGTGGTCACTAAAGCAGGTTTGACTGTACATGTTTTGTTGTCATTATTACAAAAGGGCAATCCTGTTCACAAGACTGTAGTGATTCAGCCTGAGCCAATATGGCTCTGGCGGGTATAAACCCATATGCGCGTAAGTCCCGCATTTGGCAACACCCGCGGTAGTTTCCGCGGGCATGCTTATCCCTGGGTACATCAGATTTGAACTGAGACTAGCAACCGCGCAACACGCCGTTTGCTATGGTCTTCTTGGATCTCGAGTCTACGTAGCTTCGTGGAGCTCCACCGTCGAGTCTTCGATATTCTACAGTTCTACAAGCAATGGTAGGATTTACCCTTACTTGAGCTTCTAATATAATAATAGGTGTCTAAGTTATCTAATAACCGCCCTGTCACTATAATGGCGTAATCGCGACTTAACCGAACCTGTTTGGGCTAGTTTTTTTTTTTATCGCACACATGTTTGAGCCGCCATCTTGTCGGCGTTCACTTGTGTGTTGAAGGGATTTTCTATTTTTGTAATTTCATTCGTAGGGCCTTGTAAGCTTGTTTTTCCCCATTTGTAGTTGATTATTGTTGTAGATTAGTATTTTAGGGACTTGTAGGGTATTTTCAGTGCTGTATTCCGATTTTTGGGTACTCATTTCCGTGTTTTGGGGATAATTTTTTGTGGTCGCACACATGTCCGTGCCGCCATCTTGAATACGTTCACTTGTGTGTTGAAGGATTTTTTTATTTTTGGAACTTTTTTCGTAGAGCCTTATAAGCTCATAGTTTTTCATTTCTTGTCTGCTTAGGGTTGTAGGATAGTTTTTTAGGGACTCGTTGGTATTTTTACGGCCGTATTTCGATTTTTGACATCGGTTTCGGTCATTTTTTGTACTTAAATTTGCTCATTTTTTTCTACTCACTAGACTGGTTGTACAGCCGTTTTTTGTAGTTGTGATCCTCTCGCCAGAGTTTATACTGTGGAGATAATTCCACGGTGTTCTTTTTCGGTGAGGTATAGGGTCGTTTAAGTAGAACTTAGTAAGTAGGGGTAGGCTCTAATTAGACTAGTTTCAACCCTCTCGCCGAAGTATTATTACCGTGGAGATAATTCCACGGTGTTTTTCGGTGAGGTATACTATGGGTATAGGGTTGTTTAAGTAGGAGTAGAGTAGTACAGTGAGTAGGAGTAATTAAATTAGTTTCAACCCTCTCGCCGAAGTATTATTACCGTGGAGATAATTCCGCGGTGATTTTTCGGTGAGGTATACCATTGGTATAGGGTTGTTTAGGTAGGAATATTTTAGTAAGAAACTAAGTAAGATTGTGAAAGAAACTAAGCAAGTTATTAAGTAGGCAATAGGTCTTTCCTGTAAGAAACTAAGTAGATCTAAGTTAGTAAGTAAGCAAGTATATCTATTTTCCTTTAAGAAACTAAGTAAGCAAGAAGTATTTTCCTTGAAGGAACTACGTACGTTAGTAAGTAAGCAAGAAGGAAGGATTGGGTAGGTACCTATAATTGGGAGTTTTGACTGTCAGTCTTGTTTTGTATATCTGTGGATCTGGGGTTAAATCGTGGGTGGTATTTAATTTCATCTTCATTTCATCATTACTAATATTGTACGGCCATCTCGCCGAGCATTATACCATGGAGATAGTTCCGCGGTGTTTTTCGGTGAGGTATGTTGCCGGTTTAAGTGTAGTCCTTTAGTGTTACTTAGTAGGGTTTAGTTTTGGCCCGCTCGCTGAAGCTGTTCACCGTGGAGATAATTCCACGGTGTTTTTCGGTGAGGTTTAGGGTTCAGTATTTTCCTGTCAGGTACTTAGTAAGCTATTAGGAAACTAAGTAGGGTATTAAGTAAGCAAGAAGGAAGGATTGGTGTATTTAATTTTATCATTTGGCTATTTAATCGTTGCTGATTTAAAGCCGGTTATGGCCTCAGAGAAGGTTAAAGTGAATTATGGGACTGAGGAGGCCTTACTGGCCGTTGTGGATAAAACTAAGTCCCACAAGATTATTAGTTGGAGGGAGCAATGTGGGAGCTTAACTGAGGCATTATTTTTGCAGTGCCCCCGTCTCCATGAAGCCAAGGGGCTGTTACATTTATTTGATTTTGAGCCTTATCGGGAGGATCAGGCTAAGCAGGCACAAGGGGAGGGGACTGAGCAAACCCAGTCTGTCCAGGGTCCCGATCCCGTTTCCCCAACTACAAATGGAGGCCCAGCTGGGCCTATAGCCAGTTCTACGGCTGAGCGACAGCAGGGGAGGAGCTCGCCGCAACCGGCCAGCTCCCCAGCCGAGCCCACAGCCGAGTATCGGCTTAGGGCCGTTGACTGTCCGCCGTCCAGGGAATCCCCACCCGACAGGTCTTATCCTCCTAGGGAATCCCCGTTCAGAGAACCCCCACGTAGGGATTATTGTTATCCCCTTTCTAGGGAATCCCCTCCTAACAATTATTGTCCGCCTTCCGGGCAGCCCCCACGTAGGGATTATTGTTATACCCCTTCTAGGGAATCCCGGCCCGACAATCATTATGCTCCCAGGGAATCCCCACCAGGGGGTCAGGTAGATTACAGGTCGCAGGGGCGCCGAGATTGGCCCCCCCCCCCCCCCCCCCGTCTGCCGAGGTCACTTAGTTACGATGGGAGGACTAGTTGGCATTCCTTTCTCAGGAAGTTCACAAGTTATGCTGTATCGTGCCAGTGGAGTCCGAGCGAGTGTTTGGACGCACTAGGCTGGTGTTTGGAAGGGTCTGCATCAGATTGTTTTTCTAATCTTCGGGATATGGGCACCGAGTCGTATTACCCGATGTTGACAGCGATGGGGCGTCGGTTTGGGGCTACCCGATTTCCGGAGGAGGCTATAGCCGAGTTTCGAAAGGCTCGCCAACTCCCGGAGGAGTCCCTCCTTGGGTGGTCCGACCGGCTCCAGGCACCAGGGAATGTCGACACCCTTCTCGAGGTTCAAGGGAAGGACATAGGCAGTCTGAAGGTGGGCATGGGTAGTCTAAAAGTGGACATGGGTGGAGTGAAGAAAAAACTCGCCAGTTTGAGGACACGCATGGACAACATGGATAGTATGTTGGCGGAAGTCTTGAAGACTGTTAAATCTTTGGAGGTCTCCAGGTTCCCCAGGGCCCGCTCTACATCTCCTAGATCCAGGGGCTGCTATGGATGTGGTCAGTTGGGCCATTTTCAAAGGGAGTGTCCGGTTAAGTCGGTGTCCTTTGCGGCTACTGAGGAGGCGGGAAACCCGGAGGGATCGGAGAGCGAGGTCGATCTCCGATCTGGAAACCGAGAGGCCTACAATCGGTAAATACTGGGGTAGTTAATGTTAGTGACCCGCCTGACTCTTCGGTCGGTCCCTTGGACAAGGTAGTTAATGTTAGTGACCCGCCTGACTCTTCGGTCGGTCCCTTGGACAAGGTAGTTAATGTTAGTGACCCGCCTGACTCTTCGGTCGGTCCCTTTGTCAAGGTAAATAATGTTAGTGACCCGCCTGACTCTTTCGGTCGGTCCCTTTGTCCAGGTAGTTAATGACAAGGTGCAGAGTAAGGGTAATATGGACCCTGTGGAGGTGGTAGTGTTAAATAAAATAAGAAGCAGTTCTATGTTTTATGTGCCTATTTTATTTGGGAACATTAAGTTAAGGGCAATAGTAGATACCACTGCTGAAGTTTCCATTGTTTCTGATAAATTCTTCTCCCTTCTGGATCCAGCACCCCCTATCCTTCAAACTGTTGTCCTAAGGACGGCCGGCCAGGATCAGAGAATGACATCTATGAAGATCGGCCCTGTTCCTATTAAGTTAGGTCGATCAATGTTTGAGGAAGTTGTATACTGTGCCCCGTTAGAGGATGATATGTTACTTGGGCTAGATTTCTTACAGAAATATGGTATTGATATCTCCATAACTCAGTCCAAGCTTATTGTCGGGTACATATGTACTATGGAACAGACTCCAGGGCAGCCTGTATCCAGAGAGTCTGGGTCGCTAGGACGGCCGTGGTGCCTCCTTCTAGTGGGAAGCGGGTAAGATGTAAGGTTGTTGGGAGTCCAGGGCTCCAGAGTAAGGACCTTTCCCTTTTCCAGCCCACCCACAGGCTCCCTTTTTGGATTCCTCGGATCGTGTTTGATCGGGGGAAATAACATGTTTGTCTTAAGTATATATATTTTAGTTCACTTTTGTTTACACTGTTTAATTTCATTGTAAATCGTCCATTCTGAGTTCCTGAACTTTAAGTGTTGATGTTTTTAAACTGAATAGATAACTATTAAATAAAACTGAAAAGTTTCTGCTTCGGTTAGCGGAGTTATCTATGCCGTCTTTTGATATCTCCCAAGTGACACTATGTGGTTCCAATAATAAGTCAGAATATGATCATGTTTTGGGGGAGTAATTCCTCTGGAGTAATTCCTGTGGATCAACAAGAGCCTTTTGGATTTGCTTGATGGTGTTGTGGGCCTGGGTGCTCTGAATGATATCAGGAACTTGCCGGCAGTGGCTATTGTGCCCCCGGGTGCCGAGTGGCCCAGGGAATGTAGATCTTATTTTGTTAAATGGTTATCACTTTCTATATCATTTTCCATCTAATTTCAGTGATCTGCTTTTATCATTCTAATACATTGTGGCCGCCACTTCTTATATGCACCGTCAGGACTGCCCGTATGGAGCCGTTTGGCTGTACCGTCCGGACTGCCCTTGCGTAGACATTTGGCTCTTCCCCTTTTCTGCACACTTATTGCCTGTAATGCCCCGGTTAATCCCTTACGCCCGTGCCTAGACGTTTTGCTATTTTTCATTATGTATAAATGATATTTTAACTGCTATTTTTGGTCACTTACACGTGACATCGGCACGGTAAGGGTTAACTGGTATATTTCGGTTTCTTTATGTTCTTGATCCCTGGGACATTTCCGGAACTTGAATCCTATTTACTAATTAAATATACCAAGCTAGAGATGCTAGGATATTTCTGGTTCCCTGAACATTCCTATGAGATTGTTTGGTCTCTATACACATGTTTTTTATATAATATTCCCCGTACCAAATTTTGGAATACAGTATATATTAAGGTATGATAAAGGCGCCCGCCCTCTGGAAAGGCCAAGACTTCACCGGTGCTGGCAAGGAGGGTCCTTGACCCATCCACCAGCGGGAACGGCGTGACCCCGCACTGCGGTACGGGAGTAGTTTTAAGTTAGTTTTAGTTTAGTTTAAGTTAGAAGTAGGCTTCAAACTCATTAAGTGGGGAATAATGTAGTGATTCAGCCTGAGCCAATATGGCTCTGGCGGGTATAAACCCATATGCGCGTAAGTCCCGCATTTGGCGACACCCGCGGTAGTTTCCGCGGGCGTGCTTATCCCTGGGTACATCAGATTTGAACTGAGACTAGCAACCGCGCAACACGCCGTTTGCTATGGTCTTCTTGGATCTCGAGTCTACGTAGCTTCGTGGAGCTCCACCGTCGAGTCTTCGATATTCTACAGTTCTACAAGCAATGGTAGGATTTACCCTTACTTGAGCTTCTAATATAATAATAGGTGTCTAAGTTATCTAATAACCGCCCCGTCACTATAAGACTTACCCGAAGTCAATGAGCACCTCACTCCGGCATCTTCTGCATGACTGCAGTTATGGACTCCCCAACTACTTCCTCCAGAACAATCACTCAACCTGTCCTCCGTGCCCCTGCACTGCATATCATCAAGCCATATAGTCCCGGAACCCACGCCAAAATGAGCTCCGGTGTACACCGTGTCAACGCCAAAGTAGCCAAGCTGTCGACAAACTACCACTCCATCCTGGATGTCCCAGCTGTCGTCGCACACGGTGCCCCACTCACGGTCGTGATAGATTTCGATGCGCCCCTCGTTTTCATCCGCTCCACCGGAGAGTCTCAATGTATTTTCTAAAGAGGTGAAATAAATAATTTGTGAGCATTATTTCAAATTTCACATTTATTCATGTTTCCAATAAAACATTACAAATCAATTATGAGCATTTAAAACAAATGTAAGAAATACATGTTGGAAACAGAGGGGTCCACTAAAAAGCAATGGTATAAGAACATCAGAGTAATGTGACAGGTCGAAATGTTTCTTAATTCTATTTGTTGAGGAGGTCCCTGAATGAAGGATCCATGTCTCTGAATAAGGAGATCCCTTTAAGTGTACTTCTGAGGTGGTCCCTAAGAGAGGGTATGGGGTGATTTGGAGAGAAGAATGGTGTCCCTATAAGGGGAAGTTCACTTTGACCTTAGGTCAGAGAGGGTATGGGGTGATTTGGAGAGAAGAATAGATTTTTTGCCACATCATAGGGGAAGTGCACTTTGACCTTGGGTCAGAGAGGGTATAGGGTAATGAGAGAAAGGATATTTTGCCACATCACAGGTTGAGAGGGATGAGCATATACCATGCATCCACTCAGGACTTAGGAGGTTGGATTTGACAGAGAAGCTAACTCTGAGTAGAACTTCATACTTAATAGTATTTCTGCAGCATCTATGGTAAGTTCTAAGTGGAATTAAAATGTATTTGACATGCATCATTAGATTGAAACCTTATAGAGGAAACTTGATTTCATGTATAGTTGACAACTCTTGAGTGTCTTATTGAGTTGTGAGTTGTATTTCACATTCCTTTGCTGTTATTATGTGATACTACTAGAAGAATCTATAGAGAAACACTCTGTGTAGTACCCAAGTGAAATTATGTCAATATTTGGAGGCCTATCATTAATTGCTGTTCATAATGAGTTGCTTTAGAAAACCAAATATGATACGATCTGTGCTTCTCTGTATAAAGTATTGTGTATGCAAAAGAAGACCTGATATACAGTAATAACTAGGTAAAGAGATAATTTGTATCATTAGTATCGGATATTTTGTTGAAGTAAAATATTTGTTATATATCAAAAGCTTGCAAGTTGCATGTCACTTTTTAAAAATTTGAAAGTTATAGAAGTTATCATTTAAGTTACCATTTATGTTACAGAGGTCTTACTTCATCATTTGGTTGGAGATGGCAGTTAGTTGGAGATGGTGCACTATCTACATGTAGTTGGTCTAATTCTAGTCTCGGTGTCTCGTTAGGAGTCTCTCCTCGAGAGCTCAAGAGGGGTGAGTCATTGTAATAGTAAAGAGAACTATACAAAAAGGCAATTTATATTTCTGTATTCATGATTACTTATGCATATTTGGGCATTTTATTGTTATACCTTGCTTATTGCTTTTGGATGTTACAATGTAACTATAAACCATATATGGAAAAGTATCCAAAATGTATAGTATTTCTATGGTGTTGGGAAAATGCCAAGTAGGGCAATAGTTATTATTGATGTATCTATTCCTATGAATGATCATAATAGTTATTATTGATGTATCTATTTCTATGAATGATCATATAGTTTTGCTGATGTTTAATATGTGAAAGAAACAAAAACTAATCTGTTTGCCTGTTTCTTTTTGTCTCATTAAGGGTTGATCCATCCTCAAAATAAATACCACATAAAACTCTAAATGACTTCGTCGTGTGTCATATGTGCCTGCTGTTACAGTAAAAAAGTCCCCTGAAAAGCATGGCCCCTCAAATGCCTTCATATTCTAAAAATGCCATGCAGCAGCAGCATAAAAATAGGGACAGATGTTTATGCCACATGTTCGTGTAGTCCCATATACATCTTTCTGTGTACGGTGCTTGTAACTTTACCAAGACTGGGCCAAATTTCTTATCATTTTGATGATTCCAGAACCTTGCAGTACACACCAATACTTATATGCTAGATGATCAACCTTTTCTGATCGATTCCACACCATTTCTTTCACAATAGAATAATAATAATAATCATTCAGCTTTTACATGTATATAGCGTTTAATAATCCTGGACGTCTCTAAGCGCTTTACAGATATATTATTTCCCTTGTTTGTGCACAATCTCCACTTCAAGGGGAGCATTCCAGCCAGGGTACCCATTCTAACACCTGGGTGGAGGGTAGCAAGTGTATAGGTTAATATCTTGTTAAGGGATATTAGTGCCATGTCGGGATTCAATCCCTAGACCTTAGCATCTCCAGTCAAGCACCTTAAAACACTCGACCACGACCAGAACTCAACTTCATCTTTAGATTAAGCTAATCCGATAGTCCAGAGGCTGAAAGAACTCTCATCAGGGATACCACTACAACAACGTAAATTTGCTGGTCGCAGCTCTTTGTAAACTTTTGTTTTTACACCCGATATAACCAGGTAATGCATTGCCCGATTTTGTTTCAGTAAATACATTTATATTTATCAATACATTACAAGACTGATGTGTTTGCAGTGAAAAACATATTTCCGCAAGTTAATTTTGTTGCTCAACTGAAGCTTTTCAAAGTGACTGTCTAAAATGTTATGCAAGAAGTGTCTTTTTTATGCTATCTTTTAAAACAAATCAAATTTAGGACAGGACATGGGTTGCATATAAATATACGATTGGTTGTTGATAAAGATTTGGGTCTAGTTCATAAATGGGATGTGAAAAACAAATCGAATAATTATATATAAGGTGCATGTACACGAGTATTTCCTTTAGAGAAAATGGAAATTTTCAGTACAGTCCAAATAATTAGAGAAAGATACGTCATGGATAGATAAATCCTAGCTAAAAAGAGTTGCCAATTTGCTTTTGATCAATTAAAACTAAATATCAGGATGGACTTCCCCTTTAGGTTTACATATATCTTACCTGCAATTAGGCATCGCACTCCTGCATCTTCAGGATGACCACAATAAAGGATTTCGGCCCAACCACTATGGTAGCATGAAGAAAGCATAGCCTCCGAGCCACTACAAGCTACTACATACAACCAGATTAGCCCCAACACGGAACGGCCCCCGTCGATTAATATGTCGACTCCCACATAGCCTAGCTGCCGGCAGGCTACAACGGCATCAGCAGTATCCCAGTTGTCGCCGCATATAGTGCCCCATTGGCCATCGTGGTAGATCTCGACCCGTCCCTCATTCGTGGTCGCTCCTCCAGCGAGTCTCAGCGATCCATCGGTAACTGGAAAACAAATTCAAAGTCTCATTTCAAAAGGTTTATAGTTCCACCCATGCGGGTGTGGAGTCGGGAGTTGGTCTAGCAAAGGGCTTCTCAAAGTCCGGACCGTAAGGGGTTGTGTCAATCCGGACCACCCAGGAGGCTATGGGTTTTTTTGTGTTTTTTTTGGGGGGGGGGTTTTACCATAGCCTAAAAGGACCAGGGCAGAAATCACCCTACGCCTATCTTTCAATACCAAATTTATTTAATTTCTACAAAAGGGTACAGATGGTACTGCGAAGGGTAAAAAAAGCATAGATATTACTCCGTATATACTGTATACAATGCAGATATGTGACTGGTTAATAATTAGTAATCATTCAAAAGCCATTTGACACATAGACATGAAACTTCATTAACTTATTTCTCATGACATACTCTTTATCAATATGCCAAGGTGTGGTTGCTATTCTAAGGGGTCACTCCCCTGATCCCCTCGGCTAAGAGAGTAACAAAATAAACAAACCCCTTTATTGGAGTACACTATTATATTACTACGCAAGAAAGTTAACCACTTTTCACATACCGGTATATATAATTAGGTGTTTTTGCATATTTAATGAGCTATGACCTTTCACCTTTGAACTACATACTCAGAAATCGAACTTAGGCTGTACATGTATTTTGATACCATGTAGGCCCTACCTTCATATTAAATTTCATTAAAATTTGTCAAACATTACTCAGTTATCGAATGGAAACCAGATTCGCATATTTAATGAGCTATGACCTTTGACCTACATACTCCGAAACCGAAGTTAGGCTGTGTTTTGATACCATGAACCTTCATATCAAATTTCATTAAAATCCGTCAAACAATACTAAACTTATGGATCGGAAACCAGATTCGCATATTTAATGAGCTATGACCTTTGACCTACATACTCGGAAATTGAACTTAGGCTGTGTTTTGATACCATGTATCTATCTATCTATCTATCAGGCTTAAGTTCATCCAGACGTTGGACAAAGCCCTCCTCATAAAATTTCCATTCTCTTCTGTCTCTAGCTGTCCTAGTCCAAGCGGCCGTTCCCATGTATGATGTTAGGTCATCTTTCCATCTTCTCTTCTGCCTTCCTCTTCTTCTCTTTCCCACCCTTGGTTGCCATTCTGTTAAACGATTTGTCCATCTATTGTCCTGAAGTCTTGCTACATGCCAGCCCATCTCCACTTTGATTCTCTGACTTTCTATATGATGTCTTTAACCTTTGTTTTCTGGCGTATGACTTTGTGGTTGATTTTGTCTCGCAGAGATAAGTGCGACATCTTTCTCTCCATAGCTCGTTGAGTAGTCACAAGCTTCTGTTCTAGATCCTTTGTCAATGACCATGTTTCTGATCCATATGTCATAGTTGTTAGAATGCATTGGTTGAACATTCTTCTTCTTAGTGACATGGGTACGTTTTTATCAGTCAACATGTCTTTGTATCTTCCAAAGTTCATCCATCCTGCTTTTACTCTCATCATAACTTCTTCTTTTGTGGTGTCCTCCATTTTCAAAGTTTGTCCCAGATACTTGTAACTGCTCACTCTCTCTAACGTTCGACCTTCTATCTCAATGTTTTCATCTGTGTCATAGTTAGTCATATATTTAGTTTTCTCTTTGTGCATAGTTAGGCCAATATGCTTGCTCTCCCTGTTGAGACCTGTCAGCTGGTCTTCCAAGTCTTTGGTTGATGTTGAGATCAAGGCCACATCATCAGCGAATCTTAGATCAGTAAGTGTTTCCCCATCAATGTTTATTCCTCCATTTAAATGCGACTTTTTAAATACTTCCTCTATAGTGGCTGTGAATATCTTTGGAGATAATGTGTCTCCCTGTCGTACTCCCCTCTGGATCTTGACCTCCCTTGATACATCATTATCAATGTGAATCCTGGCTACTGCGTTGGTGTAAATATCTTCCAGGATGCGCACATACCCTTCTTCAATGTTTATCTTTCGTAGGGCATCAAACATGTCTGTGTGTTCGATGGAATCAAACGCCTTCTGGTAGTCTACAAATCCAAGGCATAATTGAAGTTGGTACTCATTTGCCTTCTCAATTAGTTGATTTATAGCTTGTAGGTGGTCTGTTGTTGAGAATCCAGCTCTAAACCCTGCTTGTTCTCTGGGTTGATTTGTGTCCAATATATCTTTGATTCTATTTTGGATTACTTTGGTGAAGATCTTGTACAGATGAGATAGAAGGCTGATAGGGCGATAGTTTTTTACATCAGCTTTGTCACCTTTCTTGTATAAAAAAATTATTTTTGCCTCTTTCCAAGTGGTTGGAATCTGTTGCTTTTCCATTATCTGGTTGAATAGTTTCAGTAACTGTGTGATTGTCTCCTCCCCTCCTTGTTTGATAGTATCACTTGTTATTTCATCATTTCCCGGTGCCTTGTTGCAATGACGACCTTCGTCATTGCCTTGTTTTCGTTCACATTCTGCCCCATTAATATTCTCTTCCTTAGTAGTGTTTTCCTTATCGTCCAAAAATCCCATTCGTTTTGCACGTAGTGCTTGTCATTCCTAGTTAAGTGCTTTCCTCATGTCCTTTTTCTTTCAAATTTCATAGACATAGTCTCTAACATCTCATCAAGGTCACTACATTCTTCGATTTTTGAAATCACTTATGCATAACCGTCCAGGCTTCATTTTGGCCGTTTCTGGTCCATTTTAAGGCCTTTCTCTGTAACTTTGTCACAAATCTCTCAAGTTCTTGAAAAATTGACCCCTAAATAATCTAAAACTGCCATAACTTTTTCATATGAATTCCGTTTTGTATTTAAATCTCACAGTATCTTTATCTCATAATTGCACATAGCCATGCCAAATTTCACGCTCCAATGGCTTTGCAAAACATAAATAGCGCCCTCTAAAGTTCTGGGAATTGGCTGTCTTTCTGTGGCCGTATCTCCTTTATGGCTTGGCAAATCCGTACCCTTTTTTGGATTTAGATACTTAAAGATATGCCCTTTCCAGCCATATCCAAAATTATATACCCTAACACTGAACGACTTTGAGAAAAATGCCCTCCAAATTCGCCATTTTCAAGAAAATTCCAAAATAACTTAAACTTGCTCTAAAATGACGATCTTTATACCTACATCAATGAAACTTGGCACACATATGTATCCATATACGTGACAACTGTCTGCCAAGTTAAATAAATTGTAATGCCCTTGTCGCAAAGTTATCGCCAAAAATGATGAATTTACTATGCATTACGTAATATCGCGTTTAATACGTGCAATACATTGCGCGGAGATAACAATGGTGTCAAACTGACCGCAATGAAGTGCCCTTTTGCATGATACCAAGTATAGTATATGTTCACACAGAAAATTGTGAGTAAATCGCATTTGAACAAAGGTCACTATACAAATTCCGCCATGTTTCCGCCCGAATCTAACACGTATCGGCTATGACGTCATTTTTTCAGACTGCTTTTTGCCCCTTAAAGGTCCTTTTTTTTTCTTGAAAATTTGCAGTGACATGCCGAGTTCCAATACGCAGGGCACCTCATGGCCGGATTTTTGAAATTGGTCAAGGGGGCCATTTAAGATGCCATTTTGTCCTATAAATTTATTTTACATCACATGTTTCGATAGGATTATCACAGAAAAAAAGAGTGATTTACAATAACAACCATGAAATTCTCTTTCTAATGATACCAAATACTGCCCATAAAGAGACGTAAAGAGAGAGAAAAAAAACAATTTAACTCCGGTCATAATACAGATCCTGTACGTTTTCCGCCCATTCATTACACGCATTGTCTATGGGGCATATCGGGTTCACGCCTTTGGCCCCCAGAACGATGTTTATTGCAATGACGAACATGCACCAAATCCCCTTGGTTTTTTTGCACGCAGTGCTTGCGAGCCTTTCTAGGTTCTTTCCCCTATCCCAATTTCTTTCAAACTTCGTAGGCATAGTACCATCCCATCAAGGTCACTGTTGAGGCCTTTCTTTCGCCCACCTATCTCCAATATCACAGAAGCTACAGACTTCGTGCAAATTGCTCTGGATAGTCCGAGAGAAGCTCTTTCGTATGACACGTAGAAACATGGCGTCATTGCACGCACATCGTTGTGACACGATTGCATTTCTAGTTGTACTTCATACTGTTTACAGCTTCCTCAACTTCTCTCCGTAGTATTGGCGGTATGTCTGATTTTCTGGATGAGATATCTATATGATCCTTCGACTGTTTCTTCGTTGAACCATAAAGTTCCCGGTAGAAATCGGCGCATATTTCTAGTAGTTCCAATCTGTCAGAAGTTATATTTCCATCTTTTTGCTTCAATTTGCTCATTCTAGACTTTTTGCTTGCCATCTTTTGTATTGTTTTTGGTCCCCTTCCGCTTTCTAGAGTTTCTAAAATGAGTTTAGAAGTTTTTCGTCTGTTCCTTTGGCGTTGTTTCTTTTTCACCAATTTGACTATTTCTGCATACTCCACTTTTTCTGTTGTTGTCTTGGATTCTCTCAGTCGTATTTGATGATGATGATGATGATGAACAGCATTTGTATAGCGCCATTTATCTGCAAAAGCATTCAAAGGCGCCTGGCTCCCTCAATATGTCACATATTATTCGCAATGTTCCTCTATTTCTTTGTCTTCTTCCGATCTTACTATCTTTCTTTTCTCAGTTGGGGCTACAGATTTGGCTTCTTCTAGCATTGCTGATGTCACCATATCGCATCGGTCATCAATGTCCATATCCTCTAACTCTAATCCATCAAAGCGGTTGTGAAGCTTTAGTTGGAATTCTTTCTTTTCCTTCAGCTTCATGATGTTAATCCGTGTCTTCCTATTATTTTGAATGAATCTAAGCCTGGCTAGTTTCTTGTTGATGCTTATATTGACTCTGACCATTCTATGATCACTTGCAATATCTACATTGGTGATGACTTCACAGTTCTTGACTATCCCTCGCTGGTTACTAAGTATGAAATCTATCTGGTTTTTAGTAACACCATTTGGACTCTCCCAGGTCCAGTAACGACTCTTGTGTTTCTTAAAGTATGTATTGGTCACTTTAAGTTTATGTTCCATTGCAAATTCTATCATCCTTTCACCTCTCCTGTTTCTTTCTCCGTAGCTGAATGATCCCATGATATTTTCTTCCCTTTTTCCACGTTGTCCGATTTTCGCGTTGAAGTCACCCATAAGTACTGTGTAGGTACCCGAATTGTCTGTAATGGCCTTATTGATATCTTCATAGAATTCCTCCACTGTTATATCATCATAATCACTAGTGGGCGCATAAACTTGTATGATGCACATTTCATCCTTGCCCGTCAATTGTATTTTCATGGCTGCTACCCTGTTTGAATAGCTTTTAACTTCTTTCACATAGTCCTTAAATTTGTTATGGATTAGAAATCCGATTCCTTTTGCATTTTTGTCATCCTCTGTTTTTCCCTTGTTGTAGAGCCATGTGCCTCCTTTAAGTTCTGTCAATCCTTCTCCTTGTCTCTTCGTTTCAGCAAGCCCGATGATGTCCCATTTGAATCCCTCTAGTTCATCCAACAAACTTTCTAAACTTTCCTCGGTTCTCAAGGTTCTAACATTGTATGTACAAATATTTAGTTCAGATTTTTGACCAGTTTTATTGCATCCCTCCATCTTACAGCTTCCATTTGGCTTTGACTGCAAAACTTCATCAAAAGAATCCTCTTCAATGCGTTTACTGGTCAATTACGGCCATGGGCTTTACGGCCTCCTTTAAGTTGTCTTTCCATAATTGTCATGAGGGTTTTTTGCCATATACTGACGCGCTGGCAAGGCGTGTTGTCAGTAGGGGAAGCAACTGCTGAATGTAGTGAACATATCTGCAGTCCTCCCACCCGTGCACGTCGCTGGCTGTACTCGTCTACGGCACTACGGTAGCAGTTTGTTAGATCTTCAACCAACCGGCCAGACTATACCATGTACCTTCATATCAAATTTCATTAAAATCCGTCAAACATTACGAAAGTTATACAGTAGGCTTGCGGGTGCACCATGTGAGAGAGAGGGTTGAGGAGTCCTGAAGTTATCGATCGGAAACCAGATGTGTATTTTTCGCATATTTAATGAGCTACGACCTTTGACCTATGACCTACGTACTCCAACATCGAACTTAGACTGCAATTTGATATCATGTACCTTCATATCAAATTTCATTAAAATCTGTCAAACGTTACTGAAGTTATCGATCGGAAACCATATTTGTTACAGACGGACGCACGCACGCACGGAAGCACGGAAGGAAGGACGGACGGCAGCGTTACTATATCCCATCCGACTTCGTCGGCGAGGGGATAACAAACTTATACGAAGGGAAATAATTGATGAATAAACTAAATATATATACCGGTATGCCAATTGCTTCGGACCTTTTAGCTTTCGTGGAAATCACATCCGGGTCGTGAAGAGAAATTTTGAGAACCCCTTGGTCTAGCGGTACGTTTACTTGTTAGCTCTTTGTCTTAGCTCTTTTTCTACCGCACATTGTGATACCAAATTTGTAATGGGCGGACCTATGGTTCGGGTGTTAAGTGACACACCCCATAAAACTAGCCTGTCCAAATTTCTGTTTGGACTCAGAGGAAAATTTGTCTGGGCTTCAATCTGCACTTGTTCCTTTGTCTGTCATCTTTAGTTTTAAAAACAACATCGTTAATATTAATCGTGACGAGTTCACAGGCACAAATCGGCGCCATTAACTTCACTTTGTATCAAAATGAAAGTCGCTTGGGTTTTCTAGCATACTACGGTGTCTGCTAAAAAGCAAACAAAAAAGATTTTTTTTTTTTTTCCTTAAAAATAGGGGGGCGTCTTATACACAGGTGCTTCTTCTACACAGAGATTTACTGTAATATCAGGATGGACTTCCCCATCAAGTTTACATATCTTACCACTTGGGGATAAGCATCGCACTCCTGCATCTTCGGAATGAACACAGTTATTGGTTCCCCAACCACTATGGAGGCATGAAGAAAGCCTAAACTCCGAGCCTAAACAAATCACTTCATCCAACCAGATTTGCCCCAACCCGGAAGCCCCGTCGATTAATACGTCGACTCCCGGGTAGCCTAGCTGCCGACAGGCTACAGCGGCATCAGTAGTATCCCAGTTGTCATCGCATACAGTGCCCCATTGGCCATTGTGGTAGATCTCGACCCGTCCCTCATTCGTGGTCGCTCCTCCAACGAGTCTTAGCGATCCATCGATAACTGGAAAACAAATTCAAAGTCTCATTTCATTAGGTTTATAGATCCACCCATGTGGGTCCTGGTCTTGTTTTGATAGGAGGCGGGAGTTGGTCTAGCAAAGTGCTTTTCAAAGTCCAGACCACAGGGCATGTCAATCCGGCCGCCCGTCAAAAACTCTGGGTTTTTTTTTTTTTAACCCTAAAAGGACCAGGGCAGAAATCACCCGACCTCTATCTGTCGATACCAAATTTATTCAAATTCTACAAAAGGGTACAAATGGTACTGCGAAGGGTCAAACAAGGGCTGCCCTGTGCGCAGCCAAAATAGATATTACCCTATATATATTGTACTTAATGCAGATATATGTGACTGGTTAATTAGTAATTAATCATTCAAAAGCCATTTGACACATAGACATGAAACTTCATTGACTTATTTTTCATGAGATAGTCTTATCAATATGCCAAGGTCTGGTCGATATTCCAAGGGCCGGGGCACTCCCCTTGGCTAAGAGAGTACCAAAATAAACAGACCGCTTTAGGATTAAATTGTAACAATTCCCCTTGAATCAGATAAAGACCTAAAAGTTTAACAAAGGAAACGCTCTCGGCGGTCTTGCCTGCATTACGCAATTCGATATGATGAAATATTGAGTTTGGAGTAGTTATAGACAGGGTGGCCCATTAGTAGGCCCCAAAAAATGAAATCCTTTGAAAATAATCATCATTTTGAAGTGAATATTGACTAAGAATCGTCAGAAGAATTATTTACTATTATTTGTAACATATAACAAAAATTGATTTATTAATGCTCATATTAAGTTGTGAAAACATAATCCAAGTCTACTGACCTTTGGCCTACTGATCTGGAATTTGTGTCATGATTTGTGATACTTGATTTGTGATACCCTTGTGTACAAGTTTCTGGAAATTTGAACAAACACTTTTGAAATAATGATAACTAGATGGAACTTCGACTGCATGCAGTCGAAAATGATGCCTCCGTCATAGAGCAATTTTACAAACCAAAACAGAAGAAATTTTTCAAATTCAAGTTCTATTGTAATCCATTGACAGGTTCTCAGAATATCGTGATTACAAGCTATTTCTCATATACATGTATGACCCTTTGATCTTTGACCTCATGACCCCAAAATCTACTCAGTTCATTGGCTCTGCACAAATACATACACGTACATGTCTTGAGTTTAATGGTAATCCATCCATCGGTTCTAATTGATAATGCGATCACAAGCTATTTTTGCATACATAATGAGCCCTGTGACCTTTGACCTTTGACCTTGTAACCCCAAAATCTAATCAATTCATTGGCTCTGCAAGTTACATACATGACCAAAGTTTGGTAGGAATCCATCAGTCGGTTCTTGAGATAACGCGATCACGAGAACGGGACGTACGGACAACCTGAAAACATAATGCCTCCGGCTACTTCGTAACGGAGGCATAAAATAAAACTTCAAAATCTTGATATTGATGCCACAACAAAGTCTAAGTTTGCAGACCTGAAATGACACTTGGCCTTGACTTTGTCACCTAAAAGACTACTCACATGATTGGTGATACATGATAACCCTTATGTTCAAGTTTCATAGAATAGGAATGTATACTTTCAAAATTATGAAAAAAATTCAAAATCTTAACCTGATGCCACAACATAGTATAAGTTTGTTGACCGGAAATGACCTTTGACCTTGACTTAGTGACCTAAAATTCTACTATCATTATTGAGGATACTTGATAACCCTTTAGTTTAAGTTTCGTTGAATAATAGCTTACACTTTTAAAATTATATTACAAATCCAAAAACTTAACCTCGGTTAAGTTTTGATGATTATACCACAACATAGTCAAGTTTGTTGACCTGAAATGACCTTTGACCTTGACTTTGTGACCTGAAATTCTCCTCATACGATTGGAGATACTTGATAACCCTACAGTCTAAGTTTCATTGAATAGGAACTTATACTTTCAAAATTATATTAAAAGTTCAAAAACTTAACCTTAGGTAAAGTTTTTGATGTTGACGCCGCCGCCGTCAACGGAAAAGCGGCGCCTACATATATGTCTCACTTTTTGCTACGCAGGCGAGACAAAAGCAAACCTCACTTTCTAACCATGTACTGTTCATGGTCCCAATGTACAAAAGATATCTCATGGAAAGATAAATCCTAGCTAGAAAGATATGTCATGGAGTTGCCAATTTGCTTTTGATCAATTACAACTTTAAATATGCATAAATCCTTATCCTTAACTTCTACTGATTTGTTTTACTTGTTTTTGTGCTTTGATTGAAAGTAACTTAGGATCAGGATGGACTTCCCCTTTAAGTTTACATATATCTTACCGACTGAGGATGAGCATCGCACTCCTGCATCTTCGGAATGAACACAGTTATGGACTCCCCAACCACTATTGGAGCATGAAGAAAGCATAACCTCCGGGCCATCACAAGCCACTTCATCCAACCAGATTGGCCCCAACCCGGTACCCCCGTCGAGTAATACGTCGACTAATACGTCGACTCCCGCGTAGCCTAGCTGCCGGCAGGCTACGGTGGCATCAGTAGTATCCCAGTTGTCATCACATACAGTGCCCCATTGGCTTTTGTGGTAGATCTCGACCCGTCCCTCATTCGGGGTCGCTCCTCCAGCGAGTCTTAGTGATCCCTCGGTAACTGGAAAACAAATTCAAAGTCTTATTTCATTAGGTTCACCGTTCCACCCATGTGTGCGCTCCAAAAGAGGACTGTTGAGTTTTGAAAGGGGATTGAGAGTAAAGAAAGAAATATTCTTTTGTGTTGTGTTCTTATTTAACGACTACCCTTGACTGTTATTAGAGAGAAGAAGAAAAATAAGGAATAATATTTCTAGGCATTCATTAGTGAGTGGATGAAGTCCACAAAAAGATTAAGCAGAGAGAGACCCAACATTGTGAACAGCTTGATGATTCGGATTCAAATTCCAAGTAGTTTCCATGAAAAATGATGTGCTTTTAACAAAAAGGTCTTCTCCTTTGAATGTACAACATGTTTTGTATATATATATTGTTAATCGTTAGACTGTCTTTCATGTATTATTGTCTCTTCAAGCCCAAGAAGCGCAGACGGAATGGAATGTAAGTATGTAACCATTTAGACCTCCCATCTTCTCTATGGATTATTGTATTTAATGTAAATGCTATTCATGCATGTACCCCTCAGGTATCAGTAAAAGACAGTATTTCCACAATAAATGTCCCAGCCGGGCAAAAGGGGCTGCAGCAAAAACTACAGCACAAAGCAAAATAGAGGATCATTTGTTGGAACCTGTTCACATCTGCTGCTATAGGTAGCATTTCTGTTAAAAGGGCATATAAAACTACATGTATTTTATGGTTCTAGAACACCTTCCCCCTAGACAACCACCCTCCGGAAAACCAACCCCTAGGATAACCACCCTCTAGGACAACCACCCTCTAGGACAACCAACCCTCCGGACAACCACCCTCTAGGACAACCACCCCTAGGATAACCACCCTCTAGGATAACCACCCCTAGGACAAACACCCTCTAGGATAACAACCCTCTAGGATAACCACCCTCTAGGATAACCATCCTCTAGGATAACCACCCCTAGGATAACCACCCTCTAGGATAACCACCCTCTAGGATAACCACCCCTAGGATAACCACCCTCTAGGATAACCCCCCCTAGGATAACCACCCTCCAGGACAACCACCCCTCCGGATAACCACCCTCTAGGATAACCACCCTCTAGGATAACCATCCTCTAGGACAACCACCCCTCCGGATAACCACCCTCTAGGATAACCACCCTCTAGGATAACCACCCTCTAGGATAACCACCCCTAGGATAACCACCCTCTAGGATAACCACCCCTAGGATAACCACCCTCTAGGACAACCACCCCTACGGATAACCACCCTCTAGGATAACCACCCTCTAGGATAACCACCCTCTAGGATAACCATCCTCTAGGATAACCACCCCTAGGATAACCACCCCTAGGATAACCACCCTCTAGGATAACCACCCCTAGGATAACCACCCTCTAGGATAACCACCCTCTAGGATAACCACCCTCTAGGATAACCACCCTCTAGGATAACCACCCTCTAGGATAACCACCCTCTAGGACAACCACCCCCAGGATAACCACCCCCAGGATAACCACCCTCTAGGATAACCACCCTCTAGGATAACCACCCTCTAGGATAACCACCCTCTAGGACAAGCACCCCCAGGATAACCACCCCTAGGATAACCACCCTCTAGGATAACCATCCTCTAGGATAACCACCCTCTAGGATAACCACCCTCTAGGATAACCACCCTCTAGGATAACCACCCTCTAGGACAACCACCCCCAGGATAACCACCCCTAGGATAACCACCCTCTAGGATAACCATCCTCTAGGATAACCACCCTCTAGGATAACCACCCTCTAGGACAACCACCCCCAGGATAACCACCCTCTAGGACAACCACCCTCTAGGATAACCACCCCCAGGACAACCACCACTCAGGACAACCACCCTCTAGGACAACCACCCCTAGGATAACCACCCTCTAGGATAACCACCCTCTAGGATAACCACCCTCTAGGACAACTACCCTCTAGGTTATTTCTAGGGGTGGTTATCCGGAGGGGTGGTTGTCCCAGAGGGTGGTTATCCTGGGGGTAGTTATCCGGAGGGTGGTTATCCGGGGAAGGTTGTTTATAGGGTAGGTGTCCGGATACTGTATTTTATCGGTAGGTGGCAGGTATGTAGACTCGAGTAGAGCAGTAAGCCAGGTGAGCCAGGTGAGATAAAGATTAATAAGAATGATAGCCAACAATTAAATGCTTATGGATGCTGCATTTCTAGTCTTCCCTGACTGGTCTTTATGCGCAGGTTTTGCTGTAAGAATAACAATGATAATAACGATAATGTGTCTAGTTTACCAAGGGTAGCCTCATCAGTATTTATACTTTTCTTTCTGAGGGGCCTGCAATCCTATTATTACCCCGGTACACAAGGGTATAGTCAAACCTGCTTTAGCCATCACCTGTATAGAAAGACCACTTGTTTATAAAGACATTTTTCTTGTATTCCTTCACTGGTGTTTCTCATTGTGACACATGTTAAAGTAAACCTGTCTACAAAGACCACTCGCCCAAATAACAACTACGTTTGTTCTCCCCTTGGCAGACTTTCTATACAGGTTTTGCTAAACTTGGAATTTGGATCCAGTTTAAGGATTTTAGATTTTAAAGCAATCTTACCATTACTTGGGGTCTGACATGTGACCCCAACATCTTCAGCATGACTGCAGTCGTTGGTTCCCCAGTCGCGGTGGGTGCACGATGACAACGACGTCTCGCCCCCAATACAATTCACGTCGTCTAACCAGATTGTTCCGGTTCCTTCACCGAAGGCAGCCTTGGCGTGAGTTTCTGCATTTCCGGAGTAACCCAGCTGCTGACACACCACCTGTGACTCGTCGCTGGCCCATGTATCGTCGCATACTGTACCCCACGATGACCGGTAGTAGATCTCCACTCGACCTTCAGCAGCAGTGTATCCTCCCACAAGCCTCACATCTACACAATGAAAAACAAAATTGCTGTGAAAGAAAATTCAATTAGTTCTCTTGATTTCTAGAGGATTAAACTGGGTCCAGTTTCCCGAAACAGTCATAAGTCAGAGTTCGTGGACATTCTATAGAAACGTGTGTTGATTCTATGAGGCAAGTTTCAGTGGGATTTCTGAGAATTTAGCCCCCTGGCTTGAAATAATTGGACATGACCATGTATGGATAAAATCAATTTAAAAAAACTTTATCTGGCATTCTATAGGTAAATGGTTGAGGAGAATGAAGAGGGAAAAAAAGGATAGCATAAAACCCTGCATATCGATATAGGTCTAGGGTGGATTCAAAAGGCGGCTTCAACCCGGCTTCAATCCGCACTGGGATCCCGTTTAATCACACATAAAACTGCTGGCTTCAACCCATACCACTCCAGCAAAGCATAGAGAGTCAGTGCTAATGCGTATTGACCTTTAGCACTGCATGCTTGCTGTGAGGCAGGTATTTTTGGACCCGTACACAAATATACACACCACACAATATCGCATAGACTCTACACAATCATGTCGATGCAGCTGTAAGCAAAGTTTGACACTAGACTTACAATTTGAATTTTTAAATTATTCTTTTTAACATCAGTAAGTTACAAAAAATGTATTTTACTGCTATTTAGGTGTCATCAATTGTCACTAAAGTACCGATTTTGAATGAAATCAGTTGAGTTTTGTACAGTGGTGTTTGAAATGTTGAGAATCAAAAGCACAGCTTTTACTACACAGCCAGGATAGTGATGCTTCTATGTGTGGCTTCAACCCGGCTTCAACCCCCTCGCGCTTCAACCGGGCTTCAACGCTCGATGCGGATCACTGTGTAAACACGGTAATTATTGACCGCGCGCGCCCGTACAATTTTCCAAATTCTCCTTATAAACTAGCAAAAATCACATTACATAATGTCTGTTACGTACCGTATTGTTCTTGGGCAAGAATTGTCTGAAATAGGTCAGGAGATAAAAGGAGGAAAAGGCTTCCAATAAACAATATTAAACGTAGGTCCATCGTCATTGCCATACGCTGCAACATTGATATGAGGGCTCGCAAGGCCAAGGTACTGTACTGCTATCTATGAGCATTGGGGTATTGGAGAAGTTTACAAACAATTTGAATTTGTCAATTCACTGTGAAATATACAATACAAATACAATTGATGTTAATCCTTACAAAATAACACTATCGACAATAGTGAGAAAAATTATGATGATAATGATAATAACAATATTGATGATGATAATAATATTAATCAAAAACAAAACGATAATATTAATTAAAACGATAATTAATGACGAAATTAATGGAAGCAATTTAAAAAGAAATTTACTGGCACCAGTAAATTGATATCTGAATTAATGAATTACTGAAAATATTCTTGATATCAATTTAATAAATTGATAAAACACAAAAAAGAGAAAAATAAAGTTAATATTGAACTCATAACATGTTTTTTGCACATACTTAAATTAATGAAAACGAAGCATTATTTTTCGACAGAATTTTACTAAGTTTAAACGTGTTTGTACATTATTGGAGTTAAAAAGCTGATCCATTTTCAGTGTATTTGGTCTTTCAATAAAATATTTATCGATGAACAATTTTCTGTCTGAACGAAAGGTAGGGCATACAAACAAGTAATGAAATTCATCTCCAAGCGATTGCAAATTGCACAGCGTACATATAGCCTCATTTCCCTTGGAGTATTTGAATATCTACCAGCTACAATCGGCAGGTAATGATTGCCACATGCACAGCGAAAACGACTTAATATTGTCCGATCTCTTTTAATGAGATCGATTAAGTATCTTTCTAAACATAAAGAATGTTTGAAGATTCGATAGTTAACACAATGCGAATTATCGTACATAATTATACAAGCAGACCAATACTGAGCATGAGAATCTCTCAATCGACGTTCCACAGTTTGTTTGACCCACTCACGTACAGCTAGTATTTTCACAAATTTCCCATAAATTAGACATCCCCATATTGTCCAGAGTCAGCTTGATTTTTTTTAACCAAGGTGCCTGATATATATTCTTCTCAAAGAGTAATTTTAAGATAATATACACCTTACCAGAAAATTTATCCTGTCCACTATGTACAATCCTACACCAGAAGTTTATCATTCTGCTTTCGATATATTTCTCATAGACGAATAGACGAATCGTCTTCTTTCTCTAATGATTTAATGAAACTTAAAAGCTTCCGCGCTTCGCGCGGGAGGGGGGGGGGAACCTGAATTCAGACGAGGATTAAGAGTCGAGAACTGTACAACGAATCGTCTCGTTTCTCTAATGATTTAATGAAACGTAAAAGCTTCCGCGCCTCGCGCGGGAAGGGGGGAAACTGAATACATGTACAGTAAAGGCGAGTATTGAGAGTCGAGAATGGTTCAACGAATCGTCTTCTTTCTCTAATAACTTAATGAAACGTCAAAGTTTCTGAGCTTCGCGTAGGAGGGGGGAGGGAATGAATCTAGACAAGGATTAAGAGTCGATTAAGAAAACGGTACAACGATTCGTCTTCTTTCTCTAATGATTTAATGAATCGTAAAAGCTTCCGTGCTTCGCGCGCGAGGGGAAAACAGAATTCGGACGAGGATTAAGAGTCGAGAACTGTACAACGAATCTTCTTGTTTCTCTAATGATTTAATGAAGCGTAAAAGCTTCCGCGCTTCGCGCGGAAATGAGGGAAAACTGAATACAGACGAGGAATAAAAGTCGAAAACTGTACAACGAATCGTCTTGTTTCTCTAATGATTTAATGAAGCGTAAAAGCTGAATTCAGACGAGGATTAAGAGTCGAGAACTGTACAACGAATCGTCTTGTTTCTTTAATGATTTATTGAAACTTAAAAGCTTCCGAGCTTCCCGCGGGAGGGGGGGGGAACTGAATTCAGACAAGGAATAAAAGTCGAAAACGGTACAACGAATCGTCTTTTCTTTCTAATGATTTAATGAAACTTAAAAGGTTCCGCGCTTCGCGCGGGAAGGGGAACCTGAATTCAGACGAGGACCGGATTAAGAGTCGAGAACTGTACGTCGAATCGTCTTCTTTCCTTAATGATTTAATCAAATGTAAGAGATTCCGCGCTTCGCGCGGAAGGGGGAACCTGAATTCAGTCGAACATTCAGAGTCGAGAACTGTACAACGAATCGTTTTCTTTCCCTCATGATAAATAATGAATCGTAAATGCTTCCGCGCTCTGCGCGGGTGGGGGAAAATTGAATTCAGACGAGGATTAAGAGTCGAGAACTGTACAACGAATCGTCTTGTTTCTCTGGTGATTTAATGAAGCGTAAAAGCTTCCGCGCTTCGCGCGGGAAGGGGGAACTTGAATTCAAAGGAGGATTATTTTCGAGAAAGGTACAACGAATCGTCTTGTTTCTTTAATGATTTAATGAAACGTAAAAGCTGAATTCAGACGAGGATTATAAGAGTCGAGAACTGTACAACGAATCGTCTTGTTTCTCTAATGATTTAATGAAATGTAAAAACTTTCGAGCTTCGCGCGGGAGCTAGGGGGGGGGAAACTAAATTCAGACAAGGAATAAAAGTCGAAAACGGTCCAACGAATCGTCTTCTTTCTCTAATGATTGAATGAAACGTAAAAGCTTCCGTGCTTCGCGCGCGAGGGGAAAACAGAATTCGGACGAGGATTAAGAGTCGAGAACTGTACAACGAATCTTCTTGTTTCTCTAATGATTGAATGAAACGTAAAAGTTTCCGGGCTTCGCGCGGATGAGGGAACCTGAATTCAGACGAGGATTAATAGTCGAAAACTGTACAACGAATCGTCTGGTTTTTCTAATGGTTTAATAATTCGTAAAAGCTTCGCGTTTCGCGGAGGAGGTAGGGGGGAACTCGCCCCTCCCTGCACCCCCCCCCCCGCATTACGTCAGTGTTGGTCACCATTACGTACCAATATTTGGGCCCCCACCCGCTTAAAAAATTCGGGATCCGCGCCTGTTTGTAAGTCTTATTAAAACATGACCGCAATGACTTTGAAGAAATCAACTGCATGCCTTATAGGTCGAATGTTCTATATATTATAATGTTTGCACTTTCCCAAATGTGACGTCAGGTTTAATCAGGTATTCGATTTGCATCTGGTATTATTTTTTGTCCTAATTAGTCCTAATTATAACTGCGATCGTGTTTGCTAATAGAGTATAGAGTTGCGAGTGATCGAAATTAATCGCAAATCCTCTTATCCAGTGTTTTTCAACCAGGGTGCCGTAGATCCATTGGGTGCCGCGAGAGAAATTAAGGCCATTTAAAATATATATACATGTTTAGCGTCCCCGCCCGCTTTCTTTTTGGGGGCCCGCCTCATATTTTTTGTTTTTTTGTTGTTGAATTATTATTATTTTTTTTAAATTAAAAAAAACATGAAAAACACTGCTAAAATGGATCTATTTCTGATAAAATTTTTAAAAAAAAAAAATGTTGGCGGCCATCTTGAAAAATAGCCCGACTGAAAGGGAAAATTTACCGAGCGGCCATTTTGAAGAAAAAAAAGAAGAAAAAAGGGCCTCCATATCAATTCCTTTCATAGCAAAAGCGCTCCTCACAATACGTGCCTTCACGGTTGTTTCATCGCAAAGCATGCCGGGACATAATTCTAGTCCATTTTCACCTTCGCCGTGATCAGCTATCCTGTTGCAAACAACGGGATTCGTATCGAATCAACATCATAATCTTGTACATAGTCCGCTATTCTGCAGTGATTTTCTTCCAATCCAGTATCATTTGTACGGTAAGAAAACCAAAGTTTGTGGTTATTCATTTTTATGACTAAAAAAGCTGATAATACGACGTAATGAGAGTGGGCCGAGATCCAACTTTAGTAAATGTAGGCCTAGATCTAGTCCCGTATGTTCAAATGTGTGTGCATTTTAAGTAGACTGATTGTCTTTTAAGCTGCTTAAGTACACTCGTCTCGTGTTTTAGGTAGAAATGTACAGTAATATGAGATTTATGTCTCATGAAATATGAATAGACTTTCTAGATCCTATAATTGATAATGGAATAGATTTCTAGGGTCTACTAGAATGGCCGACAGTTAGGCCTAGAAAGTGATTGCAATTAGAAATTATAAATGTAAGAAAGTAAAAGAGGCCATGAAAATGATAGATTTGTCGATCTGGATCTGGATATAAATTCTGATATCGATGAGCTCAACTTGAGCATCTACGTGTTGAAGAAGTGATAAGGATTCTTTTGTTACAATCATTCTTGTGGTCACGAACTTAATATGATTGTCTTTTCCCTTATATTTATCAGTTGCAGCATCATCAATTATAGGATCTAGAAAGTCTATTCATATTTCATGAGACATAAATCTCATATTACTGTACATTTCTACCTAAAACACGAGACGAGTGTACTTAAGCAGCTTAAAATTAGACAATCAGTCTACTTAAAATGCACACACATTTGAACATACGGGACTAGATCTAGGCCTACATTTACTAAAGTTGGATCTCGGCCCACTCTCATTACGTCGTATTATCAGCTTTTTTAGTCATAAAAATGAATAACCACAAACTTTGGTTTTCTTACCGTACAAATGATACTGGATTGGAAGAAAATCACTGCAGAATAGCGGACTATGTACAAGATTATGATGTTGATTCGATACGAATCCCGTTGTTTGCAACAGGACAGCTGATCACGGCGAAGGTGAAAATGGACTAGAATTATGTCCCGGCATGCTTTGCGATGAAACAACCGTGAAGGCACGTATTTCTGTAAATTTGGCAGTTTAACGCTACGCGTACCGCCTTGACCGGACTGTGCGGTATCTGTGCAGTTCTGTGTGTAGAGAGGTCGGGCTGTATTCATTATTTCTTTGGGGTGCATAAATTGCTCTAATTATACGTACGCGTGTAATGCGCAAGTTTATTGTGACGGCACTAAACCCATCCCACTCATTGTTACCCTATTTTCATAATGGTACTGACCCAATGAAATGTAGTGCAGTGCGCTCGTACGCGCTGCGCTGCGTGTGTACATGTACTGTACTTATATGCATGTTCAGTTATATGTGTATGCATAGCATTACGTACATGCATA